ATATTCTTCGTCATGGCCTGAAAAATTACTATTTACAGCGGACTTGAGCTCATTGTCGTCAGCAAATCGCTTTCCCTGAAGGTATTTTTTTAAGTTTGGGAATAAAAATAAGTCACTAGGGGCTAGATCTGGGCTGTATAGTGAGTGGTTAATTTCTTCAAACCTCTAGTCTCTTACAGCAGCCTAGGAGATCCGTGCCGTGTGAACCGGTGCGTTGTCATGAAGAAGCAGCATTCCCTTAGTCAGCTTTCCTCTTCTCTTTTCCTTTATTGCTTCTCTCAAACAGCATAAGTGGCTAAGTATTTCTCTGCGTTGATGGTTTCACCTAGTAGCTTATAGCTTTCAATAGTATTCCTTTGGAATCCCAAAACACTGTGGCCATGATTTTACCGGCCGATGAGTGACTTTGAACTCGTTACTAATCCTTTTTTATGCCATTGCATAGACTCCTTTTACTCCCAGGATCAAACAAACGTTTCCCATCTTGCACAGACTTTTGTGAGGTTAAGATAGTCATGTAATTCATTTCTATTAACATTTTAATTCTTACTCGTGCATCTTCTAATAAAACTTTTTCAATAATTTTCACATTTTCTTCTGTAGCCGTTGTGATTTGCTCACCCGAGCGGAGGTCATCTTCGATGCTTTCCCTGCCTCTTTTGAATTCACTTGACAAATTCTGTACGATTGGTAAACAGCCACCATTTCTTTATGGATATTTTTTTGAGTTTTTCCTTGTTTAGTGAGGAATTTAACTACCGCACGATGTTCGATTTTTTTTTTCAACACTGTCGAGTCAGTCATTCCCGTCGTCTATGACTGAAGGTTACTTAACACAGAAATCGTATTATTACTATTTATGTGTTACTTAAGAATTAATGAAGTTATCAAGATGAAATTTCATATTTATAACCTCAGGCAGGTAGGGTCGTTAGCTAATGAATTTTTTAATTACCCACATTATTAGCAAATCACGAATATATTGAACGCTCCTCGTAGTATGATCCTTGTGGATTTCATAATTAAATAATTTATACGATACATTATATATTTATATGATCCTTAATAAAATCAAGTACTATAAAATGGCGAATATGTAGTCCGTCATATTACTCTTCAAAGTGAAATATAGATAGTCAGCTAACTATTTTGTGTACTACAATAAAAACAAAACCAAAAGAAGTTGGTAGGAGAATATTGATGAAAACATCTGGCCACACCACGCTCTATACCACGTAACTATACCACGTTACTTTTAATTAACATTAGTAGGTTCAATTAGCACGATTTCGATTTCCACGATTTCGATGTAAGCGTACATACGAGTAAGTACATATATATAATGAAACGTATACCTAGAATATTTTTAAACTGCCATACTTTTAATAATTGGTTTAACAACAGGGTTGGCATGAATAAATAATTTTGATTTAAATCAAATGTTTTCAATAAAAATAAATGATTTAATTAAAAATGCTTAATTTCTCTTCTTTCACAGAAATGAGCATAAAAAAACAGTTTTAGAAATTATAATTAAGTTACAAACTAGGATGGTTCAAATCTGAGAAAACAACATCATTGTTATAATATTTGAATAAAAAAACCAATTTTCTAGCTTTTTCAATTCCCAGTCGGTTTCTTTATTTGCTCTGAACAATTTCAAAGGTGGAAAACACTTTCCACAGCAGCTGAAAAAGGTATCGCCCAAACAATTGCTTCACCACTGGAAAAAAATTTACTGTTCCTCTTTTACTAAATATGTTTTTCTATGACATCCACCACTCTAGTGGTGTCACATTTTTTACTATTTCTTCGGTGAACATCATACTTCTAAACGGTTTTGATTTTGACTTAAGCTAATATCAATGGTAGCCAAACTGAACCATCATAGTGATTTAGTGCTTCCTCCAACGCACTTTCTTCTTCTTCATCTGTCAGTGTGAATTCTGTTTGGGTTTGGGTCTAATAAAAATGCCAAAAAGTGACTGCTTATATTTCTTTTGAAACTTCGACATTTGCAGTTGCAGTTGCATATAGCCCGACAGCCAGTTTTGCTCGTGCTTTTTTCTGTGAATGTTCCCAAACCCCATCTCTTTGGCGAGGAATTTTATTTATAATAAATTAGTCACACACGCATCACACCAGTAACAATAGTAAACAAAACTGAACGAATGAATGCTTAATGATTTCTTATATTTACGCGAACAGTATACATTGAAATAATACTAGTTTTTACGGAATTTATCGCGTGTATTTAACTTTTTAATTACCCGACGTTTCGAACGCTTTACAGCACTCATGGTCACGGGCAGGACTGAGATGTTCAACGTCCATATGTTATAGTTAACCGCGGTTACCATAGATTAAAATTAATTTAAAATTTTAATCTATCCTGGTTCTGTATATTCTTATGACCGGAACACCAGTGCACGCACTTCTGTTGGGCGGCATAAACAGATATAAAATGATATGATGGTGGTATCTAGCCAAACGGACTAGTACCCATAAAAGGACTCGAACTATCTAGTGAAAGTAAGTTCCGTGTAAACTTAATTAAGTATGTAGAGATTTCGTACATTATGTGAATCATATATAAGGTAAGCACCGGACATTGCTTTAACCAAAAAGGTAAGTCGGATTGAAGAACAAACTTAACTTTGCAGTGGAAAAAATGATTACCCATACATTGGTCTGTCTAGGTTATATTTTATCCGAATAACTTGGAGTTTTATTTACAAAAAAAAAACGAAAATTGACAAAATAAATGGTCTTTGATTATCTTAAATCTAAATAGAGTTACATTAATAGATCTTAGCCATCATACTCGAGGGCGGATCGCTAATTTTAAATAAGCAGGTAATATTGATGTGGTTTGTTTTTTTAATAAATTAAATGTTATTATATTTTTATTTCTCGATGCGATAATTTATTGTCATGGTAGTTTTTTTATACAATTATTAATATATAATTATATAATTTTCTTATTAATAATTTAATAAGAAAATTACCGTGTCAGTTAATTATAGCGTCGAGTAATTAAAATTCCACTTACCTATTAGTTAGTTACGTAACCATAAACTGATGCTTCGTTATGTTTTAAAGCTTGTAGCAGTATTTAATTACGATTTCTAGTAATTTTTTGCGCTTCACGTAACACCTTTGATATTAATATAATATCGTAACGTCGTCGTAACACTTAGATTATATTTTACTACCGCACTAAGCAAGTTTTTCGTCATTAACTAATCAATGAGATCAGTTGTTAAAGACCATTATTGTAGATTGTTGAACGCACTTTGATCGTTAACTTTCGTTTATTACTTATTCATTATAGCCTATCATAAGCCTTTATGGGAGCCTATATTGCAGCAAAAATAAAATATATAACATAAACCAGAGAATACGGCGGCCAGCCTCATTGGAGACTAGCAATCGGCGCATGACAGGCTATTAGTGCCCAAGTGTATGACTGCTGAACAAACTATTGCTTCAATTTCTGCTTAGCAAATATAACCCTCTTTGCCATAGTGCAGGTAGGTTAGCACTTAGCCGCCGAAATTTTGTAATTTTGAGTTGTAATTTACAAAGATGCTGCTGCTCATATTCCTATTTCCTATGTCTTACGAGACCCACGGGTTGACATATGGTAGCGGGTTCTCTTACCACGTCGCGCTGCTGCACGGCGTCGATCGTTAATTTATAGCAAAAAAAGTCAAATCAATGTCCATAGTTTTTGATTTTTTTTTCGAAAAACGTTACCGTCACACTAGGATTTTCTACTGTATCGTCGAGTAATAAATAAGTTTACATACATAAATTGCACAAGGAAAACATCCAGACCCGGAACAATTATTTTTGTAGGGCATACAAATACTTGTTCCGTGCGGTATTCGTACCCACGGCCCTCAGCGCTGCAACTTATTTTTAAGACACTGCGCCATGGCGTCGTGTGATTATATTGATAAAAAACCTTGATATATAATAGTATCGGCAGAACTAAAAATAAATAGTGAACTTTTATAAATTATTTGCCATTATATAATTAAAGTAACATTAGCCGCATAGTTATAATACATAATAGTTACAGATTGTACAATTATGTACCTAAATGCATTTTGATGTAAGTTCTCTTCACAGTTTTCAATATCCTCTAAGCCCGTTATCAGATATCACATGTCGGCAAATTACTTGTTTACCGCAAACGTAAGTTTTATTCGTAGGTACGTAATTATAGCTTAACATATCTTTTATGGAGTGTAGAAGTAAGGAGTACCAACTCCCATAGTAGAATAGTTGAAAAGTGGTCATCTCCTAGCAGTAAATTACAGTTCAAAAACTCTCCACAACAGCGCTGAAGTAGATACTGGGATGAAATGAATTTAGCAGTTGTCGACGGTTTGAAATGTGCTGCTAAACTGCTCAGTAGCTCTAAAATCTAAAATAAATTTATTTAATAAATATAACCTCGAAAAAGTCGTCTATCCCATTAATATTTTTCGGCACGTTCTTTAAAATTTAGCCCGTAGCTATAGTGGCGCTACCCTTATTTAACGGTTTTCTATGGACACTTTTTAATACACAGTCTGTACTCCTTCTACACTCCATAATGTCTTTGTTAACGTTGGCTCGCGTGGAATATAAATAATTTAAAAGAGAAATAGGCCTATAAAAGGCCTCAAGCTGAATACTTTTCTCCTTTCAGTTCTGTAATGATTATTTTTAAGTTGAAAAGAGACAGTTACGTTATTCGAGGTATATATCAAATATGCTCCCTATATAAACTCTTGTTTTCTTAAACATATAAAATCTCCTCACATTTTCTCTCATGCCCCGACACGTGGTTTATCAGTATACGTAATTACATGTAACAATCTCCATTATTTCTTATTCCACTGAAATTTAAGATGAGCACCTGTATCTCTAGTCTACAACGGTGAATAGGTCATATTAAATAAAAAAGTTAATTTAAAATAATTACTATGAACATACTGACAACACAGGCAAGACGGCTCGAGCTGCGGTTACAAGATGGCGCGCTCGCTAATATTCAGCAAGGTGCGCGACCAGCTGGGACTAGACCAGTGCGAGACGTTCGTCACCGCGGCCGCGCCGCTCTCGCCTGACATCAAGAAGTTCTTCATGTCGCTTGACATACCCATCGTGGATGCATTCGGAATGAGCGAGGCCGCCGGTGCACACACGCTAAGTATATATCCAAAGTAAGTATATTAAGTCTGAAATGACCGTGGCCGGATGCCGGCCCCTAATTTGAATCCCATTGTATAAAAAATTAAATCCCGGATTTTCTAACCTTGTTCCTGACTCTGCATCTGCCCAACTCGGATATTAGTTTTTTTTCAAATTTCAATTATCTAATTGTTATAGCGAATTGGCACACAATTTTTTTATTATACAAAATGTAAGGCAAACTGTTCAATAATTTCGATTATTGTAAAATTATCACACTAAATTAAAGAGTGGTTACTCGCCAGTTGTAAAAATGGCTATAGTTGTAGTCTCCCGACTATACTAGCTTATCTATGGTTGTGGTTGATAGCACACAACACCTTTGTATAAACTGGTTGATAGATCGAGCTCATCGTAGGCCTAATACAAAGCCTTCCCATATTTTGGCAGAATACCGCCTTTACACGGCTTACATATTATCACAAGTTGCTCTCATTTAAAAAGAAATAGGTATGTTTTATTTTTTAAATTGTGCTGGTTTCCAATCCCCTCTAGAGCAAAACTCATTAAATTTCACTTTCCTGTCATATTAAAATCTTTATAATAAAACTCCTTGTTTAAAAATCGAATACCATTTATTTATTTAAAAAAAGATTCTCGGTCTTGTACAAGGTTTTGTCAAACTTGTTTAGTCGTTGAGAAAATGGAATTGACTCGAGAAAATTCAAGAGCGATGATTTAGTATGACTTTCGAAGTGTTTTAACACAAAAACAGTGTGTTGACCGGATAATTTCTGCGTTTGGTGTTGAAGCCCCATCCAAAACCACAATTTATCGCTGGTTTGCTGAATTTCAACGTGGACGTGTCAAGCTCAGTGATGATCCTAGTCAAGGTCGTCCAAAAACTGCAGTCACCCAAGAAAACGTTGAAGCTGTGCGTAAACTGATTGAAGTAGATCGACATGTGACATACCGCGAAATTCAGGCAACTTTATACATTGGCATGAGTCAAATACAGATAACCTTCCATGAACAATTAGGTGTAAAAAAGTTGTTTTCCCGATGGATACCGCATTCGCTCTGTGAAGAGCAAAAAGCGGCTCGCGTTACTTGGTGCGTCAGAACTCTCGAAAGATTCCACGCAGGATCCTCAAATGCTGTATACAACATCGTATCAGATGACGAATCCTTGATATACGCGTGCGAACCTGAAACAAAAAACCAGTCACGAGTTTGGGTGTTCGAAAATGAGTTAAAACAAAAATTGTTCGTTCACGGAGTATTGCAAAAAAGAAAATGGTGGCCACGTTTGTCTCCAAAACCGGCCATGTTACGACTATTCCTCTTGAGGGACAAAGAACGGTTAATGCAGAATTGTATGCTAGCATTTGTTTGCCACAGGTCGTTTCTGAACTCCGTAAAGAGAACTGCAACCGCCGCATCATCCTCCATCACGACAATGCGAGTTCTCACACCGCACACAGAACAAAAGAGTTTTTAGAGCAAGAAAACATAGAATTATTAGACCATCCGCCGTACAGCCCCGACCTAAGCCCTAATGATTTCTATAATTTCCCTAAAATAAAGAATAAATTGCGTGGACAGAGATTTTCATCACCTGAAGAAGCTGTGGACGCCCACAAAACGGCCATTTTGGAGACCCCAACTTTCGAATGGAATGGTTGCTTCAATGATTGGTTCCATCGTATGGAAAAATGTGTCAAATTTCGCGGAGAATACTTCGAAAAGCAATAAATACATTTTTAAATAGTAATGTTGTGTCACTTCCTTGATTCCCGAAATTTTCAGTGCCGCCCTGGTAACTCGTAAATGTAATGTTTTAGTATAAAAAACTCATATTGCTGTGAGGTGTCATTATGGTAATTTAAATATTGCCCATGGCAAAAGGGAAATGTATATTATGTAGAAAAAATACCCACACTTTTTTGACTGTGATCATTGTGACTGTGACCTTTATCACAAGTATGAAAACAATTCAAAAATAGGAACCCGTTCTCTTCAACCTTATGGAGAAGTCAATTTATCGTTAAATACTTATAACAATGACCACAGCTGAAACAATAAATCGTTTTTTTCCAAGGTAACAAAGTTATCCTACCTTTAATCTATACAAATAAATAAAATTGAAATGTCTGTTTGTAATGTCAGCTTATCAACAAATAACAGCTCTTTACTAAATGCATATGAAAGTGTATGTACGTTACTTATAACAAAAAAAAAAATATTGTGGTAACGCCAAGCTGCCTTATATACCCAATATACCTTGAAAAACAAATTAGCTTTAACAGAAAACAAAATGAACTAGAAGTAGAACGAAGAGTACAAAATACTTGGAACAAGTACTGGTCCTTAAAAGAGATATTTAAAAGTAACGACAACAAATATCAAAACAAAATCAGTCATGCCTCCTACCTTGTTTAACTTACGCATGTCAAACTTGGAAATTTACATCCGAATTAAAAAGCAAAATCACTACCTGCCAACGCGGAATAGAACGAAGTATGCTCAACATTAAAAAGATGCAAAAAATTCGTGACACAAAATTTAGAGAAACCACCAAAGCGACAGATGCTCTAACCTACGCTAAAAAAATAAAAATGGAAGTGGGCTGGACACGTAGCGAGGCTAAAGGACCAGAGATGGACCACCAGGGTAACAACGTGGAAGGGTCCAATCGGCAAACTCTCAAAGGCAGACCCTACACGAGATGGGCAGACGAATTGATAAAAATAGCTGGTACCTGCTGGCCGCAAATAGCTCAAGATAGAGACACATGGAATTCTTTAGAGGAGGCCTTCACCTTCACTTGAGGCGGGGATCATGCAAACAAACTTATATATTATTATCCAGATTTATACTTTTTTATGTACGTACGTTATTCTTAGCATGAAATAAAAGGCTTATTATTATTATTATTATTATTATTGGGGTATCTATATAATTTTCTCACCTGGTTGGGAAAAGATAAATATACATAAATATCAATAAAATAAAATAAACACAAAAACTACATAAATAAATAAGATCCACCCAGATGGGAGCCCTCGGCAGGAGAGACCAAACGGCCGAGGGTTAGGGGGAAAGGGAAAGAAACCGGCGGACGATATCGAGGAGCACCGCCTTCTGCATTTGAGCCCGGAGCGGTCCGTCACGGAGTCCCAGTCGCCTCAGATGACCCGAGAGGCTGACTGGGATTAGTCCATTCGCAGAGACGACTACAGGAATAATTTCGGTCGGCAGACCACCCCACATGTCGGTCACCTCGTGAGCCAGGTCCAGATATTTTTTCTTTCTCTTTGGCTTTCACGAGGTTCTCGTCATACGGAATAGTAATGTCGATTATTATTATTATTATTATAACGCCAAGCTGCTGTGGGAAGGACCACACTCTCACAGAATACAAACGTAAAATAGCAGTGAATGCTGCTGTGCTTCGTATGGTGAGTGTAGAGAGCCGGTAATTCTTTTTACTCAAAACGAGGCATTCCATCTTAGTCCTCAGAGGTGACAACGCATCTGCATTTTGAGTCTTAATGGAGGATAAATGTAGATGTTTATGGGTCACAGCATCCACTTACCATCAGGTGGAATGTGACTGAACTGGACTGTGCTCGTTTGTTACCCTTATACTATAAAAAATTCTGCCAGTCTGTCTGTTTGTTCTGCCTAATCTCCGAAATAGCTGGACCGGCTGGAGTGGCTTTAGACGGGACTTTCACCTTGCGGATAGCTAATGTTATAAGGAGTAACTTAGGCTACTTCTACTTTAGAAAAATAAGTAACAGCTAGTTTACAATACAATTTCAGTCTATATCCCTGTGTTCTGTGATATTAATGTTATTGGTCTTTTTACTTTTATAACTACATCTGACTCAGGCACGATTGCAGTATGACAATTTTCATGATTTTATATTTGCCGCTGTATCTATCAACGACTGATTTAGGTCCGGTTCTTATTTGCATGATGGTTTATCGAATATTCTCTTTTATTATTTACTACTTAACTACACATGTAGTAGCCTCCTTCACTATTTTCGTTATTATTCCCTACCATTTAATTACGCCGCCACCACAGTATGCTAAGTATACAGTAAAGCTGCAATAAGATTGTGGCGGCGCTATCGTCGTGCCGCAAGCGAAACATACCGAAGCCTAAATCACGCTATCAAAACTCCAAATCATAAACAGTATATATAGAACATCTCCGAACTATCACACGGAGTGTTGGCCGCGCCCCGGGCAGAACACCTTGCCCGGCGGGAGATCTACCCTTTTCCTTCCACGGCCACAAGATAATCTAATAAGGCACTTCGTTCTCGTTCTACTATTAATAATCTTAATCTACTATAAATATCTATTATAGTAACGGTTATACTATTATTATAGGCAATAGATATCAATGTAGACAATAAGATAAGTAGGTAATAACTAATTGTGGGTATCAAATGTTTAATTTTATTAGAAAATCTAATAACCTTGTATACATTGCTTTTTTCAAATATTTTAGGTAATATTTAAATAATTGCAGTTTGCCTATATTTGTCAAGACTCATTCTATCCTCTTTTTGAACGATGGTTTTTTCACAGGATAAATTTGTGTGAGTTAGGTCGAGAAAAGTGAACAAAGCAGAGTTAAACATCCTATATAGTAATGATGTCATCATAATCTCATCATTCTAGTAATGATGACATGCTCAGGGCAGCAGCTACCATGAGTAACCAAACAACTGAGAAAATGTTAAGAATAAAAGTGTTAATTACACGGCAACGATACAATGACGATTATATCATTGTTCTCAAGTCTAATTCGTCTGCAACGAGGGAATACGACAATTATTGTCCAAAATTTGGGAAAACTGTTAGTAGGAACTGCTAGAGCCATTACTAATGATAAACATAGTATAATGTATAATATTATAAATCACAAAATTAATTGATCGTTACTTAGTAATTGTATATATTCAGATTCAAGCTTGATTCATCGGGTGAGTTGCTAGAAGGCACAGAGACGAAGTTCGGGGGGTCAGTAAGTCCGAACGGTCCTGGCGAGATCATGATGCGCGGTCGCCATGTTTTCATGGGCTACCTAAACGACGAGGAGAAGACTAGGGCGACTATAGATGAAGAAGGCTGGCTACATTCAGGCGACGTCGGTAAAGTCGACAGCAACAACTTGCTTTACATAACGGGAAGAATTAAGGTGAGATTTACATATAAGGTGGACCCACTAATAATCTCTTATAGAAAATAGGGACTCTAGTAACATTGTAAGTGTATTTAACAAAGACTGAGTTTGAGTAAAGAGTAATTTATATTTAGTAGAGCAAATTCCTTTCATAATCTTGAACACTTTCATTATAATTATCACTTTAATTATCTTGACCAGCAGAATAATAAATTATATCTATATTAAGAACGTAAAAAAAATATATATTTTTTCCCGTTCGTAACATTTTTTAGGTTTTTTAGTTTCCTGGTTAGACTTTTAATAATTTTACCACGTGCTCGACGGTAAAGAAAAACATTGGGGCTTCTCGGGTTTGCAACACTTTGATTTTTTATGTTTTTATTATGTCGTATGATATTATTATTACAGAACACGCTTTAATTATCTATGGGTCTATTCCTTTTTAATTTTGGTTAAAATATAATATTTTTGGCAAGTTCGCAACTATTAACAGAAATTTGGTTAATTTGGTCTTGTGACATTGAAAATAAATTTTGGCAATATATCAAACTATAAAATTTTAATTACGAAACATTGGATACTGTCGCAGGAATTACTAATTACGGCGGGCGGCGAGAACATCGCGCCCGTACTCATCGAGCAGACGGTACAAGCGGAATTGCTTCATGTGGGCTACGCGGTGCTAATTGGTGATAGACGCAAGTTCCTCTCCATCCTGCTCACACTTAAGGTCATTTTTCTATTAATTGTATTTTTAAGAAGTTTCCTTTAACGATTTAATTCACAGTCCACAGAAGCATGTTCTGTGAGATATGCGGAGAGAGCGCGTAGCTCTTTAGCCACCACAGCGATGCTCTTTTTAAGTACTGATTTACCACGTGCTAACAGCTTATAGCTGCTGTGTTTTGTATGGTGCGTGTACAGAACCAGAGACCCTTTTTACTGGAAAAGTGGCATTCCATCTTAATCCTCAGGGGATGTCTATTAAATACATAATAAAATAAATGTAGATGGCTATGGGCCACACAGTATCTACATACCATGAGAAGTGTGCTAGTTTGTCATCCTAATTCTATAAAAATGTGTAATACTTTTAAGTCTAATATTAAAATTGTTTATAATATTTATAAAACGTTTATAAAAATCTTCTAAAACTATTTACGTATATTTTTAGAAAGAACTGATGTTAATAATATTTAATGTATAATATGAGAAAGAGAAAGAGAGATCTGCCTTTGTCTCGCTTAGGTAAAATTCATTGAGTACACCTTAATTATATATTTAAAATGTTTTAGGCAAAAGTTGATCCGGAGACAGGAGATCCACTGGACGAGCTGGAAACGGAAACTGGAAAATGGGTTGCAAGTCTTGGAAGCAATGCCAAAACGATTAGTGAAATTGTCAAGACAAAGGACCCGGCAGTGAGTAATCCAAGTACCTGCACGTTCCACGTACCACCACGTTCCTGCACAAAAAGCAACATGATGGCAGTCATAAATAATTTACCACCGTTTTTCTTTATGAGAGAAAAGCTATTATTAGTTTCACTAACCAAAGACTGTTTTGGATCTCAAAGCATTTCACTACGGTTGTTAAAACTGTTACATATCAGCAGAAAGATATTATATTTAGCACGTACACAATTCAAACTTGGACATGGGTAAAAAGCATTTGCCACAAAACACTGATCAGCTTGATTCAAAACCACGGTACCAGACATCTCGCACTTTTGTCGCTGCTCCCGACGCCAGTCAGGGATATTGAACTTCTAGAATAAACCAGTTCGTTATATTACGATACTGTCCATATCGCCGATACAGTGGTAAATCGCAAATATGAAAAAATACCTACCCATGTAGTTAAAAACGCCTAACGGCAATAATTTGCGCATTCAAGTATATATCGATATTAAGTGATGGTAAGCCTGTGTGCAAAAAGCATTCACGCAAGTAAGTAAATTATTACGAATTTTAAATCAAGTTCAAAACTGTAAACAAAGAGAAGGATAATTTATTATCATTCAAGTGCTGTAATTTTTTAAATATAGTATGGTTGTCATTTCGATCGAATTCCCAACTACGGTCATATTGTTTCAGAAGGGAATAAAATGTAGTATGCTCGCGAACCAGAGGGTAGTCGTGACGCACGTGTACAATCTGATTTTTTTCTAAATTTGTAAGTCAGACAAATAGATTTTAACCATCTACTTTGTATTGCTGTACCCGTGCAACCGAGTTATTATATACAACTAAACTATAAAGAATTGTGAAAATTATCCCCGTATTCCTTATCAAAACTATCCGTTTCCTTTTCCAAAATCGGACCGCTTTTAATTTTTAGAAGGTTACTAGTTTCTAAAATCTCTATATAAGTATAGAAATCAATTGCTGTTGGTAGTCTCGCCAAACATCGAAAATGGCTCGCCCGATTTTGATTTTATTTGTGTGTATTTGTGTTCATCCCTGGATGGTTTAAAAACACCGTTGGACCCCGTAGGTGTTGTCGAGAATCAGAAATCACCCGTGCGAAGCCCGGGCGGATCGCTAATAATTAATATACAGGTTGTTAGTGTAAACACCGTTATCCTTGAAACCAGTGGTTCGGTTTCACTTATAGAACGTAAAATTCAATGAAAAATAACATTTTTTTTTAGTAAAATCTCAATTTTTCCTTAATTCCTCAATTTTTGCCTGTCCTAAGCCAGGATGAAAGTATGAAGGAAAAGTTACATCATAGGTTATGTGTACCTATTGTGTTTCTATTGGAATGATGTATAGGTAGCTAGCGCGGGCGGAGATCTTTACAATGATTACGTCACTCGGGCGCATAGGGTATCCATGAATTTACGGACAGTGTCGGACAGAAACTTTTTAAATTTTATGAAAGAAATTAACGTTTTTTTTAAATTCGGATAAATATTTTTATATTAAAGCCAACTACCTATGGGTTTAGTGACAACGGTGTTTACACTTACAAATTGTATGAAATTAAAAAAAAAACAGGAAGTTGGCAATTGTAAATTTAGATTGTATCGTAAAAATATTTGCTGTAGTGTCATTATCCAGGGAGAATAAAGAGTAGACTAGATGGACTAAGCACTGCCCGGCAATACTTTTAAAGACTGCGAAGCTTATAGGTCGTGAGTTTGTTCGAATCTTCAATTCGACTAACCTTGTTGTAACCACCCCTAGCGTAAGCATTTAAAGCTTTAGGATAGGGCAACGGGAATCTCACTTGTGTTAACAGAATTGTAAATTTATTCTAATATTATAGTACAAAAATATGTATGTATGTAGCCTTTATCAATTATATTTCTTTTCAAAGGTCCATAAAGCAATAGAAGAAGGTATAGCTCGTGCCAACAAGCATGCTATATCTAACGCGCAAAAGATACAGAAATTTGCGATACTGCCTGCAGACTTTTCTATGAACACAGGAGAATTGGGTACGTCTAATTACTTTTTTTATAGTCTAATTACTTTTTAAGTTTTGCTTTAAAATTCACTTTCAAGCTAATAATCCCATAATTTATACGTTTCTGTTACAGGACCTACGCTTAAAATAAAGAGAAATGTTGTTTATGAAAAATATAAGGAAATTATAGAAGAGTTTTACAAGGAATAATTTATTTATTTTTAATTTAATATGCACGGAATAGGGTTATTTTTCTATTGTTGTTACCATTGCTCAATTAGGGAATAAAACAAAAGAGCTTAGAGCTTGCGAATAGTTTTGATTCGACAATGGGAGCTGTGAATATATTTTTGTTAAAAATATATAATTGTTACCGTAAATCTATTTTTTTATTCTTATTTTAAACCACACATTGATAACTGGAGAGAATGAAGCTGAAATTTTAAGATGAAATAAAATTATACATAGGTAAGTTTGTTTATAATGTATATCATGGAAATATGAAACTGAAAAAAGTCATGTAATAAAATAGATGCTAAAATCACATTCTTACTAAACTATGAAAAAGTTAACAAAGACTAAGTTCTTAAAACTAAGTTATCTACATGATAACTTAATTTTAAGAACTTAAAATACAAAATAAAACTTAACTTAAAATAAGGCAATCAAATTTTAATAAAAAGAATGTCAATATTTGCATCTTGGAATGTTAATACAGTCTTAAACAAAAAAAAAAAGAAATGCGCGCACACATGGAATGAAAATATTTTTGTTAAACCATAATAAAATGTGACAAAGTAGTTTCATTCAATGTTATTGCGTTTTATTTCAAATCAATTATCGTAATTCTAAATATGTTAAGTACCTACATAAAAATAGTCGTAATACTAACATTAACACATTTTAATACAAGACATAACAAACTTTTCAACCAGCATTCAACAGTGATATTAAGAATAGGAAGACTTGATAAATATATTTTATCACTAACAAAAATTAATGTGGTAAATGTTATATTAACAATATAATAGTGATTTATAGCGCAATCCTATACGAGTTACTTTGTTGCCGATGGTAGTTTAATCAGTGTTGTGTGAGGGGGGGGAGCGGAGGAGGGCAGTGGTGGGGGCGCGTCGGCCAGCGGCAGCGGTTTGGCCACCCCGATGCGCACCACGCCCCGCGGGGCGCCCTTCAGCGCCGCCACTGCTTGCTCTAGGCTTGCGTCTTCCAAATTCTGACCAAACATTAAGAACATTCAGCTGGAACTAATCAATGTAGCACAGTCTACTAAGCTAAACTCCCATGCTTAGCTTAATGACTTAGCGGTCAGCCGCCGTAGAGTCTAAATCACCTGAGGATGCCTCGTGTAGAGGCGAAACACGTGTCGTATTATCGTCGATGGTGTGTCTTACCTGGAATACTGGTGTTGGAAGTAGTGGTTCCGGGAGTAGTGGTGTTGGGAGTAGTGGTGCTGGGACTAGTGGTGACGGAATTAGTGCACGGAAATGAGGGAGGGCGGGAGGTACTCTTCAATCCAGTTAAGACACATCATTGTATTTAGTTAGCGGAAGGTTGCAAATTAATGATTATTTTATTGCTTGTAGTTATTGCAAAATATAATGTTGAAGACACAGCAATCGCTGTGAAGCGGTGGCGTAAGTATATACACCAACCCATGTCATCCTGTGGGTGTCGTAAGGAGCTACGAAGAGAAACTGAAACTAGTTATGTGCGGCAGGACCTATCCGATAACAATAACAATAAAAAATAAAACTGTAGAAGCCAACTCGCCCGCCAAGCGTGGCAACTATGTAAATACTTATGGAGAGAAGGCTATGTCCAGGAGAGAAATTTTTATAAATGACGCAAGAATACACAAATGCTGTGGGATGGCGGTATTAGAGACTCAATCACCCCATCTCGTACATTAAAGGTCATAGTGTCGACTAGAGGAAACTGACCCTAATTGGTGTTGTATTAGGGAGTCCCCACATTTATCGACGCAGAATCGGCTTGAGCCGAGTACGTATCACCACACTACTCGGATTAAAGCCGATCACCTGTTGCGACAGTTACTCACAAGCGATTGGCAGTCGACTTATTCGAAAGGCCGTCGCGACTGCTGTTCACTTGCATACTGCATTCGATTCCCAAGAACGACCGTCGCGACGGTTGTTCTCTTACGTTCGGCAGTCGACTTCTCCGAACGGTGAGCTTGACCGTTGTTCACATTCGCTCGACAGTAGACTCATCGCTCGTTATTCGACTGTTCTTCAGCGCCGTTCGGTTATCGTCTGAGATGAAATCATGCGAGCGGATCATTTCAACGCCGTTTGGCTGCCGTTGGAAACTAACACGTCGACGTGCGCGTTCGCCTACTTTACTTCTACTTTTAGCGTAGTACGAATACGATCAGGTAATCGGCAAACCGCTCGTTTTCGCTTGAAGTTGTGATGCGTCGTCCGAGCCGGGCCGATGAGAATTGCACTAGCAACACCCGTATTTCGTAGACATAAAGGTTTTTCTGATCGGCTGAAGCCGATTCCGCGTCGATAAGTGAGAGATCTCCATTAAGGAGGGCAAGATATTATAAAACTATTTTTTTTACAGACAAATTTCGATCTAGATACTATTTGTAACCACTATTAAAAACTTGTAGGAGCTTAGGGTACATTGTAGCGTCGAAGTGTACACAATAACACTGACACGAACTCGTTATTCTTACCCATAATCTATGTAAAGCTAACAGTTACTGTACAAATGTTGACACTCGCTTCGTTTTGAACCCAAGACCCGTGGCCGAAATAATTGAGAGAACTGATTGTTAAGGCAATCTAACAACTGAGCCTCGTGGTCGCCGAATTAAATTGCTAATAAAACACAATATTCTCTAACATACAGTTAGTAATCCTGAGATTATACTGATTGCTAATTTGCTGTCAAGATAACGACAACTTCATGGCTTTATGAGTTACATATTATACCGGCAATACATGTTGGCCAAGCCTCAGCCAACGCCGAGCGTAGGCAAATTGATATACGGCGAGTGCTACAGTCTACACGTTGGTCAAGTTCGAAAGAGACCAATTCGAAGGCCAATATTCACGAGTTTTTGTGGAGCTATCTACATGTTGGCCGTAATTAGTCGTCATTGAGAACTGATATGATATGGACGACGTAGAAGTTATTGCAGCTTCTGCTATTTATTTAATAAGTGCATAGAATTATTATGTCAGTGTACTCCGCAGTAAAAGAAAAAAAAACTTAAAGATGTCCTCGTCAGTATAGTGAAATTGTCGAAATTATTTTATAGTTGCAACCTATTAAAATCTATATCTCATCGGGACGCAACAAGCTGTAACTGACATGGGCGACATGTGGACGCGACTTGCCGAGTGCAAGCGAGCGCCTTTGATTTGTGCAGAAAAACCGACACTGTTCCGAAGTGGACGAGTCGTAGCGAGCGATCCCGAGTGGCGGCAAGGCACGCCAAACGAACCGTATACACGTTGGCGTTCGCCTGCACTCGGCCAGCTAGGCGAGCGTCGACGAGCAATGGCAAGGCTGGACAAATGGGCTGTCTATACGTTGGCGCTCGCCTTCGCTCGGCCAACATGTATAGCCGGTTTTATAGCCTCTTCAGTGTGAAGGAGGATGGTTGAACTGCAAGCGAATTGGTGTTCGTAGTACCAGACATCGACGAACTAGATTTGGTATTTTATTTTATTCGAAAAACATACAGTGATAAATTGCTTAATACTTAAAAATATATACTGTTATATACCATTTAATTTTTTCACAGTTCGGTATATATAAAAAACTATGACATATGATTTAATCTACAATACCGCCATTTATCAGAGCCATCACACCTACAGAACGAAAGGGTAGTGAAGTGTAATTAATTTTCTTACGTTGCTATTGCATAACGAACATAAAATTATCTGTATTAATTAGACTTGCAATGAATAGTATATTTGGCCACACGTCGTACACCGAATATTCGGCGGGCTTCCTGGCCGAATAGCCGAATATTAGGCAAAAGTATTCAGCCGAGAAGGAAGTAGTTGATTATTCAGAGCGTTTATTCTCTGAAGCTGGTATTGTCTACGCGGAGAAACTACTGATTTAATTTGACTAAGTAAACTAAGTTAACTACTGCCTGAAAATTAAGAAAAAAAAATAGTTAAAATTAAACTAAGTAAACTACTGCCTTAAAATTAAGTAAAAATTAGTCTTTCTGCACCATTATCTTCCACTTTAATTACGGTAATTCTTTAATTTATCTGACAGTTCTTTTTTAATTTTTATAATGGGTACTTAAATGGTTGATTACAAGAAAAAAATATTATAAAATTTATATTTCCATTTTACTGATAATCTGACTACAATAAAACCTTTTACTTAGTATTCGGTATTCGAGCAAATAGAATAAAAGTAGCCGAATATCCCAATTATCTTCAGCGGTGCCAAGTTGACTGTCGGTATATCGAAGTGCTGAAGTGTTTGAACAGTAGGGCTACGATGGTTATCCGAGTACAGAAACAGAGCTCGAAACCTATCCAACTGCAGAGAGGTGTAAGACAGGGTGATGTTATATCCCCGAAACTCTTCACCGCTGCGTTGGAAGACGTTTTCAAGCTACTGGACTGGAAAGGATACGGTATTAACATCAATGGCGAGTACATCACTCACCTTCGATTTGCCGACGATATAGTCCTTATGGCAGAGTCGCTAGAAGACCTTAGCACTATGCTCAATGACCTCAATGGTGTCTCCCAACGGATAGGTCTTAAGATGAACATGGACAAAACAAAGATCGTATTTAATGTCCATGTCACACCTATGCCGGTAGTTGTTGGAAGCACTATGCTCGAAGTTGTTGACGAGTACGTTTACCTGGGACAAATAGTCCGACTAGGTAACTCCAACTTCGACCGAGAGGTCAATCGACGGATTCAACTCGGCTGGGCAGCGTTCGGGAAATTACGACACATCTTCTCGTCAGGTATACCTCAATCTCTAAAAACTAGATTGTACAACCAGTGCGTGTTGCCAGTGATGACTTACGGATCTGAGACGTGGTCCTTCACTGCTGGCCGTATGAGGACGCTCAAGGTCGCTCAGCGAGCTATGGAAAGGGCTATGCTCGGAGTTTCTCTGCGTGATAGACTCAGAAATTAGTATATCCGCAGTAAAACCAGAGTGACCGACATAGCCCAACGGATTAGTAAGCTGAAGTGGCAATGGGCCGGCCATATAGCTCGAAGAACCGATAACCGACGGGGAAGAAAGGTTCTCGAGTGGCAGCCTTGTACCGGTAGGCGTAGTGTAGGGCGACCCCCCACTAGATGGAGTGACGACCTGCTAAGATATGCGGGGGGTCGATGGATGCAGGTGGCTCAGGACCGTGCTTTGTAGCATTACTTGGGGGAGGCCTATGTTCAGCAGTGGACTTGTGAAGGGCTGTAATGATGATGAAGATGATGAATATCCCAATACTGAATAACAGCCGAATATTCATAGCAAGTCTGGTATTAATTGTTCGTTTACCTGGTCGTTGACGAATAGCAGCCTGTCGCCGGGTATGAGCCTACCATCCTGCTGCGCCACGCCGCCCGGTACCAAGGAACGAATCACCACCAAAGTCTTCGACGGCCGTAGAGGATCTTGGTAGTCAAGTATCGAAAATCCTAATCCACGCTCTCCTTTCACCAATTCTGTAACAGATTATTTTACACTTAAGAGTAATCCTTGCACATTTTCCTGGTCATCATTGTCAATATTGGATACTAAATAAATGTTTAAAACCTTAAAATTTGTGGAATTATCAGCGATAGCTTCAAATACTTTACAGATATGAGAGGATGCTTGTCTCCAGTTGTGGGATGTATATATAGGCTATAACTTTAACTTTATACCAGTTTTACATCTCAAAGTACAATGTCCTCCACAAGTTAAATGCCGTCTGTTAATTGACATCTAGTCGCTACTTTTTACTATGCGCGAGTAGCTCTTGTAAGATATACACGAATATGATGACAAGTCAATAATAACTGTTCAGTTAAGTCTCTGTAGTTGCAAAGCAGAAACAGGTAGCGATCACCGAATGGTGAGAGGCACACTGGATCTTAAGTTGGAAGGACGTCACACGTCTAATGAAGTCAACACAGTCCCTTTCGTGGTTTAATCCAGAGCCCCGAAAACTTTCAGCTTAAATTACAAAAACGTTTTCAGTGCTCACTACAGTCAACAATAGAAATAACATGCTTGTAGAAACAGATCAATTAGCCTGAACTAGGTTTTGCAAAACCCGTCGCGAAAGAACTATGTCCAACCACAATTTCATCTCCCACTCGACAATACAGCACTAAATTTATACGTACGTAAGCTGTAGTATGTATGTATATAAGGAGATGTATTAATACTATAATTATATACATGCACTGATCATACAAAACTTACTGGGTTTTATGAGTTCAAACACTGCATTTGTAACAACTAATATGATCGTTGATAATAATAATGAGGTCGTAAAAGAGATTTTAATGTTAAAAAGGTAAAAATTAATGTTTTATATTTACATGTAAAACGAAAATTATAACAATTTAATACTTGATTTTATTGTGTGTCTGTGGGTTTGTTATCCATTTATGGATTATTTTAATCCATAAATGTCTCCAGGGCGGATAGTCGTAAACAAAGACCTAACAGGAGTTGCGTTAAGAGGAGTATTACAAAAAAAAAAACGCAAAATTACAAGGTTTCCTCGTTGAAATTGCATGTTTTTCGTTCGTTGCTCGAAATAACAATTATTTGGAAAAAATAGTTAGTTTGCTCTACTACTAAGCTCAGAGCAAATTTTATAAAACTTATTTATTTAGTAATAATCATTCTCACGGTGCATGTTTAGGCCAAAACTCTCAGATACAACATAATTTGGGAGCTCTAATTTGTAGATTCTATTGAATATCGACCATCAAAAAATATTTTTATCTCACAAATATCCTATACTTTAATAATCATAGAAAACATTTTCGATAAATGCCTTTCACGTAAGGAAAAAAATCGACATAATTCAATTAGCGACCGAAAAAGCTTCGAAACAAGTCCCAATATCTCCGAAGTTCTACATCATTTTGACGTAAAATTTATACCAAAATAATCATCAACATTTATTTTGCTTAAGGACGCGTTTACAAAATGGATAGGTATAGAATCGCACTACTACATTGACAAAAGTCACACACACACTAGTGTACGCACGGTTGGCTGTGGGAATCGTAGTCAAATGAAATTATTTTGATAATTTGAAAGATTGAATTTGTTTTTCATTTCTTATACCTACCTCAGAAATATACTTCGATACGAAATATGAATACCTGCTCCAAAGACTGCTTGGCACTGGAAGCCCTCTACTGGTAGTGAGATGTTAGCTCTGGACTTTGAACTGGTTTTGTCAGTTATAATAAGACCTTACCTACCTGCGGACTTGATGGAGTGACCTGAAGGTGTAATTTGGTGATTACAACAATAGGAACTCCTAGACTAGTGGAACTAGGTGTGCCGAGTTTGGGTTCGTTTTGTTGGTTATGATGAGACCTTACCACCGGACTTGATGGAGTGACCTGAAGGTGTAATTCGGTGATTACAAGTGGAACTCCCAGACTAGTAGAACTAGGTGTGCCGAGTTTGGGTTCGTTTTGTTAGTTATGATGAGACCTTACCACCAGACTTGATGGAGTGACCTGAAGGGGTAATTCAGTAACTACTGCTGGAATTTCTGAACGAGTAGAACTAGATGTGCCGAATTTGGGCTCCGTTTTGTTAGTTATGACGAGTCCATACCTCCGGACTTGATGGAGTGACCTGAAGGTGTAAATCGGTGATTGCAACTGGAACTCCTAGACTGGTGGAACTAGGTGTGCCGAGTTTGGGTTCGTTTTGTAGGTTATGATGAGACCTTACCACCGGACATGATGGAGTGACCTGAAGGTATAGTTCGGTGATTACAAGTGGAACTTCTAGACTTGTAGGACTAGGTGTGCCGAGTTTGGGTTCGTTTTGTTAGTTATGATGAGACCTTACCACCAGACTTGATGGAGTGACCTGAAGGGGTAATTCAGTAACTACTGCTGGAATTTCTGAACCAGTAGAACTAGGTGTGCCGAATTTTACTCCATCAAGTCCGGTGGTAAGGTCTTATCGTAACTAACAAAACGAAACCAAACTCGTCACACCTAGTTCTACTAGTCTAGGAATTCCATTTGTAACCACCTGATTACACCTTCAGGTCACTCAATCAAGTCCGGTGGTAAGGTCTCATCGTAACTAACAAAACGAACCCAAACTCGGCATACCTAGTTCTACAAGTCTAGGAGTTCCACTTGTAATCACTGAACTACACCTTCAGGTCACTCCATCAAGTCCGGAGGTATGGACTCGTCATAACTAACAAAACGAAGCCCAAATTCGGCACACCTAGTTCTACTCGTTCAGAAATTCCAGCAGTAGTTACTGAATTACCCCTTCAGGTCACTCTATCAAGTCCGGTGGTAAGGTCTCATCGTAACTAACAAAACGAACCCAAACTCGTCACACCTAGTTCTACTAGTCTAGGAATTCCATTTGTAACCACCTGATTACACCTTCAGGTCACTCAATCAAGTCCGGTGGTAAGGTCTCATCGTAACTAACAAAACGAACCCAAACTCGGCACACCTTGTTCTACAAGTCTAGGAGTTCCACTTGTAATCACTGAACTACACCTTCAGGTCACTCCATCAAGTCCGGAGGTATGGACTCGTCATAACTAACAAAACGAAGCCCAAATTCGGCACACCTAGTTCTACTCGTTCAGAAATTCCAGCAGTAGTTACTGAATTACCCCTTCAGGTCACTCTATCAAGTCCGGTGGTAAGGTCTCATCGTAACTAACAAAACGAACCCAAACTCGGCACACCTAGTTCTACCAGTCTAGGAGTTCCAGTTGCAATCACCGATTTAGACCTTCAGGTCACTCCATCAAGTCCAGAGGTATAGACTCGTCATAACTAACAAAACGGAGCCCAAATTCGTCACCCCTAGTTTTACTCTGCAAGAAGTTCAAATAGCGGTCACGAAAGTACACCTTCAGGTCATGCCATCAAGTCCAGAGGTAAGGTCTCATCATAACCAACAAAACGAGCCCAAACTCGGCACACCTAGTTCCGCTCGTCCACGAGTTGCAGTAGTAGGTAAGTTTATATATCCTACTTATTTTTAGCTAAATAAAAACTGTGAGTATAAAAATAATAATTTTATCACTTGTCAAGTACTTATGTTTCCAATTTGTTTTTTTCTAATATTTTGTGTATGTACAGCGATCTTTTCAGAATGAGCCGCTGCAAACAGGCGATACAGTGTCCACTCACGACGGCGGCCAAGCGCGGACTGTGGTTTCATCGAAATCTTTGTACAATAAATCAAAGCAGGCACCAACAATAAAATAGCCCTTATTGCAATACATTATGATTCATCCATATTACCAAAATATGTGAAAAAATGTGCATCAGTTTTTATTTTTTTTACGACTATTTGTGACATTTTGTTAAAAAATAAACCCAGGGTTTTTTAATTGAATATGTCTGTCATCTTATAGTATTTTTTAAATTTTTAAATATGTTGATAATAGACCAAAACATCTACCGAAACACAAGCCGGTATCGTTAATTTTGTAGAAAATGGCAACGAAAGTTCGTTTTTACAATATAAAAAACTACTATTTTCAACAAAAGAGTTACAGACATTTGCAGATGAAGAACCAATCTATACATGGTAGTTTTTACTTATATTTGATTTGGTTTAGTTTTGTCACAAAATCTACCGAAAAACACCCTAATTTTGGTTGATTTGCAAACGCGTCCTTAAACTATACTATTATTTTTACTTTTTAAATCGTTACTAGGTACTATTGCCGTGCGCCGGACATCTGAGATCATTGTAGCGCGAGCGCTTGTCGAGGTTGGACCTGATTCAGTTGATTTCGCGCGCTGCTATTTGGTGCGTGATAGAGCATCGTCAACTACTACCGCTGTTTTTGATCGTTGGAAGTATTTACTTTCGCACAGTATATTTCAATTAGTATAAAGTTCGCATATTATTATTATACTAGATCTCATTATAGTTAATTTGATTGTAGCTGAGCTTTCTTACCAGTCGGATTGGGGAAAATAAATACAAGTATCAATGCGTCACGAAACGTAAAAAAAGAAATATCCCATCTCTGGAGAAATAATAATGTAGAACAAAATTCTGCATACTGGCCCAGATTATGCAGTAAAAGTACTAAAAATCTACAAAGTCTACCGATATATATTTTAAATGTTACCCATGTTACAAGCGTTTTATGAAAAGTGTACACTGCTTGAAATTGTCGACTTGACAAGCTTGGTTAATGCCGTTTTTAATCGGTACTTAGTCAATTACCATATTTTTATAATAAAAAATATGGTAACTGACTGTAAGTACTGATTAAAAAAATATTACTTACATTTGGTCGTTTTATTTATTAAAACAGGTTGCAACCGTACTATTTATTTATTTATACCACTATGCTACCGTTAGTAGATATGTTAACTGGTGATGTTGGTTAATAATCGATTACTGCGTAACAATTAATATATTTGTGTGTACTTATTTCAACACTAAATTTCATAAATAATGAAAAATATATCAAAATAGGTTATAATAAATTAATTAGATAACATAAAAATTACATACCAAAAATTTTTCCATCCACTGAACCAATGTGTGCGTGTGTTAAATAAATCTTGTATTATGGAAGATTAAGATCGTTTAGTCGCCATACTCACAGTATCATAGTGCGAGCTAGTGAATAGATATGAAAGAAAGTAACGGTGGTAGTTCGCCGCCCGCTCGGTGCGTAATACCTAAATTTGCGTAACGCCGAAATGTAAGAGGGCTCTTAAGAGCGTTTGCACGCGTGTTTGTAATGCGGCATTGAGGTCCCATGACAGAAGTGTGTGCGCGTGTGTGCGTGTGTGTGTGTGTGCGTGTGTGCGTGTGCGCGCATGTGTTCGCGCGTGTGTGATCTGCGGTTCGGGGGCCCACATGGCAAGGCTGGTTAGCGGCTCTAGGCTGCGCGAGCGCACTTTGCTGCCGGCCAACAAAGTGCGTACGTGCGTGTGCACACGCACACACGCACACGCACACGCACGCGCACACGCACACACGCGTACACGCGCACACGCACACACGCGCACGCACACGCCAACAAAGTGCGTGCGTGCGTGTATGCGTGTGTATGCACGCGTGTGTGTAATGCGGCATTGAGGTCCCATGACAGAAGTGTGTGTGCGTGTGTGCGCGTGTGTGCGCGCGTGTGCGCGCGTGTGTCCCTGTGTGTGTGTGTGTGTGTGTGTGTGTGTGTGTGTGTGATGTGTGAGTGTACTCACCAATAATCTGCGGTTCGGAGGCCCACATGGCAAGGCCGGTGAGCGGCTCGAGGCTGCGCGAGCGCACCTTGCCGCCGGCCGATAGCGCGCCACCCTCCTCGGCACCCGCACCCGCCAGGCTGCCGTCAGACTTCGCCTACAACGCACACCACATACCTCGCACGTTAACAGCTTATTTAAAACTATACCTACACCATGTAAATACCTTATTATAATCTTACCACGAAGGTACATAGTTCCCAATATACAGTGTGTTTGGTTTCAGTTTGCTCTATTCTATTACTAAAAATATTTCACATGTGGGGTCGGAACCCACTCCACTGATTCTGTAGCCATTTTTGTGTTGACATTTATGAAGTGTGCGTACTAAAAGTACTGTAACTTTGGAATGTAAAGCCCAATTGTTATAAAAAGCAGTTAGCAACAGAAAAGCATTAACAATGGATTAATAAAATATAAAATTTCCGCTAAAATTACCATCGTTTTTTGATTTGAGTTTTGGATAACAAGTGGTTGTTAAAGTATAATGATTTTATGAAACGTCAAAGATCATTCATTCATTTCATCCAGTTGTTGGTTAGTTAAAGGTGTAGTGGCGGTGTAATAATATCTACTACCCCATATCGTTCCATAGGTGTCATAAGAGGCAACGGAGGGAAACTAAAACATCTTCCTGATAACAATTCAAAATTATTAAAAACTGCGCTTACTAGCTTGCCTGCAAAGCGTGGCAACTATGGCAAAATCCCTGCTATGAGGCAATGTGTGGGAGAGGCCTATGTTCAGCAGCGGACTTTTTTGGGCTATAATGGATAGATGAATGAACATATGGACGGACGGACAGATAGATGGACGGATGGATGGATGGATGGATAATTGGATAAATGGATGGTTGGACGGTTGGATGATTAGTGGGTGAGGTGGTGCACCTTGACGAGGGTGGCGGAAGGAGGCGCGAGGTCGAGCGCGGGCGCGGCGCGCGGCCGTGCGCACACCATGCAGACCTCGCTCGACAGCTCTTTCAGGATCGACACCACCTCCAGGTGGTTCATACCCAGCAGCCGGTGCCCGTTCACCTCTGTTGGCGTGCGATAAGCAAATTAATACTTTTTCTTGGTCTTCCTGCATTAGCACCTTATTAGTCACAGCCGTGCACGCTGCTAGTGTTGTAAACGTCATTTCCGACGACAATTGTATATATCTTGGAGTAACAGAGGCTCCTTTTAAAGTCTTCGTGCTTTTGCATAATTGTAGTCACATTTCCTCAAATACATCAACATATTTAAACATGCCACTTTTGAGAAAAACAAAAAACGTTTCGAGCGCAGTGTTCGCAAACACCAGGCATAGATGTGATATGGACGCTACATAAAACTATCTTATGTATGTTCATCTTACGACCTATCCGTTGAGAGATCACCTTTTTTGGGATGCTGGAAGTCGTAGACACTGTGAGCTAGATTATCTGTTATGTATTAAAAGCAGCATATAAACACGGTCAGAAAGGAAATTGGTCTGTAGCTGTTCAATATAATATTGTCGTATTTGTTGAAGAACAAGATCACCGAACTTTCATCCCGCGCCCTCGGAATAGCTCCAGAACATAAGGGCGAAGATTTTAAAGGAGTTACCGATACTATAGCAAAGACACGTTTTACACGCCATTTTAGACCATATTGGATATAACCAGGAAGTTCTTACGAAAAATGTTTCGTTCCTCTAAATGTTTCATGTGTGTATGACAATTAATGCAATTTGCTCACCTAATAAAATGCAGCAATACGCTTTATATATGGAGTATTCACGTGCACTTACCGAGTAATTCATCACCAGGGCGATGTACTCCGGCACGGCCCACGGGTCCTTCAGGCAGCACACTGCGCACGTAATGGTGTGGTCGCACCTCACGTCCGCCCTCCACATCCACGGTGCCCTCTAACGAGATACCAAGCCCACCACCACCACGGACAACCACACCCACAACGATCTCAACATCATCACCTAAAACGAACATGATAGTTAATACTATAAAATAAATTTTATATTGTCATAAAAATAGGTAAATGTTGAAGCGTGAGTACACTGGCACCGCGTCCGGTAGCCACCGATAATTTTTGTTTGCTTACGTTAGTTTATAATTGAGGGTATATCGAGAAATCCCCATTCATTGGTGCCGTAGACAGAGAAACCTATAGACTAATGATTAGCGTGGCTTCGAGTGAGAAAGGACGATAACGTAGTTTTAGGTTATACAATAATCTTTATGACTTTTAAACATATTTAGATAAAAAAATTAATTGTTCTAAGAACTGAACTGAACAAGATTCACCAATCTTAAGCTCACAAAACACTTTTTTCTCACTTAAACCAACTTGTAAACTCCTTAGATCGCTACGAACTGTCAAAGTTGTTTAGCAAAGTGTAGTTTGCTAAAGAAAAAACTGGCACGGAGAAAGGGACAAACAATCACACCGCTCTGTCTCATTTCTACGCAAGACGTATGTATAAATCTATCTTTTTCGTGTGCGAATGCGAAAGAAGGCGTCAATTTGTCTCTAGGTTTCTCTGTCTACGATTAGTACAGTATAAAGTTTACTGTAGGCGCTGTGTGCGGGAGATTCTGCTATAGTCATTCTACGAGTGAAGTCATTCTAAGAGAGCTAAGACTGTACGTTGTAGTAATTGTTTTGGGTGCAAGCAAGGAAGATTTCGCTGCTGAGAGGGGCTGCTCTGTGTTACAATGAGATGTGTAGTGTTGCTGTTGGTTTTCATACTTTCATATTATCATGAAGTTATTGTCCTTTACATAACATTAGTATATGATTGCGTCGGGGACATATTACAGTATGGTAGAACTATAATTACTCTATACTGAATGTAGGTATCGTGCGTTACTCTGTCCTATTACTGATAACGATTAATTGCGTAAGCAAGAGAACAAGTTGAACACCCGCTCGCACATTTATATTATTTTTAACAATTAACGCTATGCTGATGTATTTCAAAGATCAGAATTGGGATCTTCTGGTCGACTTCCGAGATATATAATATAATTGTAGCGTTAACAATATAATAAAACTATATAAATTCTTGTAAAATAAAAATAACAATAGTGACCCAATATTGCCTGCCACTTGCGTCGGATTGCTTCCTTTTGTTCGTGTGTACGTGGCATCTCGAATGCAGGCTGCGGTGTAGGGCTGCGTGCTAGAGGCGGTTCCGCGATATCCTCCTCATTCATTTCCGAACTGTAAGTTAAACACAATTATCATTAATTACACTGAGAAAGAAAAGATGTTAAGACCTGTAATAGATATTAAGGTTCACTTTCGTTTGTAAGAATTTGTGCTCACAGAAAGATGTGTTTACTACGTGATAATTTATTTGCAACTGTTTGAACAAATTATGCTTTTAAATATTGAATCTATTCACACATGCATACGTATTCACACTTACGCTCGCTCTTACTCTCGTATAGATCATTCTATCCGAACAAGACCCAATTTAGTACGGAAATATATAATTAGACTTGGTAAATTTCGTGTGGTGTTAAAGATATACAGAATACTCGGAGTCATGCATTGTGAACGTCACCATACCCAAGGAACGAAATGAGGTAGAAGAAAAACTACAAGTCAATGCAAGTTTTTCTTAACCACCCATATATTTATTTTCCATTGCAAATTTAATTCAGCAGCACTCTTAGGGTTGCGTTGATAAATACTATTGTATTGTAAAATCTACTGCGTCGTTGGTCTATTGGTCATATACGTGATTGCTGATCATGAGTTGCATGGTTTCTTTTTTTTTTTTGTGTAAAATAAATAAACACTGTATGGAATATATCATTTATTTTATGCGATTTGACACCTGCCGATCTCGTGTAAGAATGGATATATTATACTCACGTGTTGTTGAGATGCATCATGGGTATGTCGTGTTGCGAGGGGTGTGCGGGGTGAGCGGCATGCGCGGGGTGCGGGTCGGGGCGGTGCATGTGCAGGAAGGGGTTGTGCACGGGCGCGCTGGCCGCGCTCTCGCCAGCCGCGATCGCCTGCTGCAGCTGCTCGTACTTCGGCCCGCGTAAATATCTGCAAATTAAACTCCACTCTCAACTGAAAATATTAAAATATTCAAGCTCTTGTCTCTTCATCAGGCCGTAAAGTTTACTCCTGGATTTCCTCCCGTTGTAGGGAAACTTTGAAAATTATTAATGTCAACCTGGCCAGGCAGTGTCGCTACAGGGGATAATTATCAAGACAATTTTATTACATTACATAAACACTTACGCCTGTCACCCAGAGGGGTAGGCAGAGACTACAGACTTCTATTTGGCACGATCCTGACACACCTCTCTCGCCTCCTTCACATTCGTTTCTAATAAATCGCTAATTTGGTCGATAAATTTTCGCCTAGGGCGTCCCTTTCCGACTCTGCTATTCACTTCTGCAACATACATTTTCTTTGTCACTCTTTCCTCATTCATTCTTTCCACATTACCAAACCACCGAAGCATTCCTTTCTTAATCCTGGTCACAACATCATCTTGCAAACCACACTCTTTATCTTGATAATTATCATTGATAATAACGTTTATGCCTGCGTGTAATATTGGGCGTATTTTCTATGGCGTGTATACGAACGTGCGTGATATTGTGCGTCAATTTTTTGGCAAATAAAACAAAAAATAAAAAAAAAAACCCCCAAACACAAAAAAAACCCCCAAAAAAGGGGGAAAAAAACACCACCCCACACCACCCCCCCCCCCCCCCCCCCCCCCCCCCCCCCCCCGGAAAAAACTAAAAAAAAAAAACAAACAAACCAAAAAAAAAAAAACCCCCCCAAAACGTGGTGAAAAGAAAAAAAAAAAAAAAAAAAACAAAAAAAACAAAATAATAAAAAAAAAAAAACCCCCCCCCCCCAAAAAAAAAGTTTTTGTTTTATTATGACGATCTTTTCAATAATGCATCAAATAGTTGGTTTTTGTTGAAAGAATGCGTACTTTACTACATGCACAGCAAGCGGGTCGGTGAAACACAGCTAACATCTTCACATGAATACTGACTGCTAATAGGGCCTATATTACCAGTCAATAATTCTTGAGCCTGAGTCGGTAATATAATCAAAATTTTGTGATATAGACATATCAGCTAAAATATTTTAAGAAAAGCCATATTCAACATTTGCAATACAAACATTTTAAAATTTTTGTAGTTCACGAAGACCATTTTAAAAGTAGCTGTCAAGTATTACTTGGTAGATTGTGCATACTACACCCAAATTTCGAGCAAGGGAGTTGGTGTGGGCAGAGAATACACTATATATAGTGCTGTCGGTAATACTGAAGTTCAGAGTGTTTGGGTAAATTGTCCGCCTTTATTGACAATTAAGGCAATCCCTAAAACGACCGCATCCGCTTCTGGACTATATATAGCCGGGGGAAGTAGGTTATTTATATTATAGAAAAGAAAAAGTTTATTTTTTGTCACATAATGTAATATACATTAATAAAAAGAATATATTGTGAGTTATGCTGAAATATATCTAATCTGCTTTTTTTTTAACAAACGATTACCGAAAATTTTGGCTGCATTGTTATTGGTCCACATAATTAACATTACGAGTCCGTTTCACACAAAGGCTGTAGTTACATGCACAGTGCACACTCAATTAGGGATCCGTTAAATTTTTAAAGTATCGATACCTACTCGATAACAAGTATCGAATCAAAAGTATCAAAAGGACTCAAAAGTATCGATACTACTTGGTATCAAGTAATATTTTTAAAATATTAGAAAAATTAAATTACAAAATGTATAACTAACAACTAATTACTGAATCCCCAATCTTGTACATCGCAATATGACATGAAGAGTAGTTTACCAACCCTTGGCCGCTGTTACCGTTGCCCCAGCTTTGGAAAATAATTTTTCTGATAGTTTTGAAGTTCCGGGTACTACAAGATATTTACTAGCAATTGAATACCCAGAAAACCGATTTCATTTCCGCCCATTGCTCAAATGGATAATTTTTAAGGCGGCTCACAGCTGACCGTGAACGGCATACATAATCTCGCGAGTCCGAAACCTACACTGAGAGGGAATTACGTCTCACAGCTGATCGCGAACGGTACGTACTATCCCGTCAATCCGAAACCTACACTGAGAGGGAATTGCGTCTCACAGCTGACCGCTAACGTTATATTTTATCTTGAGAATCTGAAACTTTTACTCAATATGAAGACAGTTTGACAAATGATAGGGTGCACCATAATATTATTCGATCTCTTGAAGATGAACATGAGCATGAACAACGACTAGATTCGAGACGCGAATATTATAATTCTTTGAGATAAGAACTATTAATAAGTTTGTCTAATGAAAGATTAAGAATTGAAAATATTCGGTCTCTGGGCTTCCAAGGTACAACGATGTTTCATCTCTGTCCAAGTTCATGGTGCCTGGTTTGTCGGGTTCGAGATAATTTACAGTGAGGGCTCCAAAAATAATATTTTAGGTATCGGAAGTTGTTTCCGGAGAAGTGGTGGCGAGTCATCAGCGTTTACAGTTCTATTTATGAAAGAAATTGCTCATGCACATGCATTTGCGTCTGTAAAGTGAAAGTTTTTAAAACGTGAATCTAAAGTTATGGATATGGTTAAAATATGATTATTTTATATCTGTTGTTCAAAACATGTGTGATTTAATTGTACTCTATCGGTAAATTCTAGTAACGCAATTATGGATCATAATTATTGGGAATACTGATACAGTCCGATTTGTCGTACCTGTGTACCAGATAAAATCCAATGAATCCATTTTTTTTAAAACTGTAAGTATCCAGAATCGCTGTTTTAAAACACAATACATAGTTTATGATAACTTCTAATCAAATATCGTATTTTATTTGGCTCTGTCAGGCTTTTTCCACACGGTATATATTTTCGTAACAACACACCCAATCAATAATAATGTCATCAGTTATATAATTACTTATCTCTGAGTATGAATTTTTAAATGTTTTTTTTTTTAGGTTAGTAAGAAGTATTACCGCTAGACTTCATAACTTTAAAACAAATTTTACAATTTGCTGAATTTTGATCAACTTTCCTAAAATATTTTCACACATTATTTTGTCCTCCGCTAAGAGGTGGACTTCTGAAGAAGCAAATCAAGCAGAGCACCTGAGTTAGCAATTAAAGAAAATAAAATTCACTTTTATAAAGTTTTTCGTTTCTACGACGAACTTGACAATAATCAATCAATATTGCCGTTAAATAATAACAAATATGAATAGATTTCTTAATAAAAATAGTTTTCTACTTTAATTATTTATGACTGATAGGTAAACTTTACTTAAACAACATAAATAGACGAATGAAACACATTTAAATCCAAATATTTTGCTTTATGATTCAATTATATATATTATTCATTCATTTAAATTATGTGGTATTGCTACTAAATGTATAAAATGTATTTACCTGGTTCCACATACGTTAAAACTATAAAAGGGTTTTTCAGAAGGAAGTGATGTCAATAGTTTTTAAGATTACAAGAAGTATGTAAGGTGTTTGTGCATAATATATTTATACTATATCCAATATTGTTTTACTGTTATTTACGCAGGAAATTATTTATATGTAAAAATAATTTAATTTTCTCTACAGTAAATTTTAGAAATATTCAATATGAATGGGCCTTTACAGTTTCAAAACAAGAACAAAGTTGTTCCCTCCCTCTTCTTAGTTTGTGGTCCCACCCCTAACAATGACCTATCTCGCTCTGTGAATATCGGAAATGTGCGAGAGACACTCAGTATTCATTTGTTTAAAAAAACAGACTATAGTAGTTACCGCTATTAAAATTACCTACGAACATTCTCGTAAAAACACTCCAAGTAAGCTTAAACATGCATACTGTATTAGTAACTGTTCACTGTGACAGTAGTCGAATGGTGGATTCGAACCTACGATTTTTCGAGTTCCCAGTCCGCGGCCTTAACCAAGCTTAAGGTCTTAGCCCACTTACACAACTCTGCTCCAACACCGCTCCTACCCAATACCGCCTTGAACTAAGGCGACAGCTAGCAGGCACCCAGCAGTCCACGCAGCGACAGCTAGCAGGCACCCAGCAGTCCACGCGGCGACAGCTAGCTGGCACCCAGCAGTCCACGCGGCGACAGCTAGCAGGCACCCAGCTGTCCACGCGCCGACCGCTTTCGCTTTTCGCGATAGACACAGTTCGTGGTCAGTTTCCATTGAAGCAACTCGTATTTTTGCTATAACTTGATTCCCACCGCGCGAACTAGCGATTATTGCTATTGGACTTGACGATGAAAATAGAAGCTCAAAAAAAAAATAACAGACGAAGATTTTGGGTGCATAAAATGCAGCCGACCGACGGGCGCGGCGCGGCGACCGCTAGCGCTAGCAGTCAGCGCGTGGACGCCGCGCAGGTCGCTTGCTTGCAACGCGTGCTCAACGAGGCGTCGTCTACCGAGCAGACCTGACGTTGCCTGCGACGTTGCCAATGTAAAATATATCTAAAGAGTAATACTTAAAGCCCATATTTGAATTATATTATTTTTGCCGGGTGGGAGCGGAGTCGTGTAAGTGGGCTAAGACCTTTAGGCTACTGTCGCTTTACAGGTTTAGAGTGGTTACCTCTCGAGCTCGAGCGTGACGACGCTGCCGCTCTGCTTGAGCGCGTCGACGGCGCGCTGGTTGGACTTGCCGGCGAGCGACACGCCGTCCACCGCCACGATGCGGTCGTTGACCCGCACCGCGCCGCTCAACGCCGCCGCGCTGCCCGCCGTCACCGACTTCACGAAGATGCCCGACAGCTCCTCCTTCTCGCACACGTACCCTGCGTACACCACAATATATCTCTTTTTATGGTTGCCTGGTAGTGAATGATTCTTAGCAGTAAGGCCGCCAATTCAACCTTTATACAGGGCTATTTTGCCAAATATGTCCAAATTTGCAAAGAAAGTTCAGAATAAGTGATATAGACGAATGGTGAAGAAACATTAATAAAAAAAATCTCAAACATTCTGTCCTTTTCATCTTTTAAATTCAGAATGCGTGGTAATGCATTATTTTATTTGATTGTTATTCATAAATATCTAACGCCTACTATTTTACTACGCACGCACACATTCGTAAGGGTTGCTCAGTCGGCAAATAAGTTTTTGAATGGAATCGCGGAAACAAAGGAGCACGCGTACGTGTAGTTGTTGCCTATAAATCACATTCAATTTAGGATAATTTCGATAATATAAAATAGAATACAAATTAAAGTTGATTTCAATTATTACGGTCTTGGTTGTAGCGACCTATAGTGTCGTTAAATCTAAGTCCCTTGAATTTAAAGCATACTTTCGTTACAAAATTCATGTGGCTATAGCGACTTTGGATGTAATGCAGTTTGGGTGTAACGATTGTTTTTAATGAATCATTTGTAACAAATTCCTAGAAACCCCCATGCAGATATTGCGACCTGATTCGGCCGCCAAAGACACATAGATTTCTTTCTTTCACAAACATTTCTTATCTTTTGTTTACAATCACACATATGATCAGCAAGTGTGGAAACCTTTAATTTTTGTTTATAGATATCAGCGAAGTAGTAGGGAAGCGTGTACGTTTTGGAGTTAAATTTATGGTTCAGTAACAAAATGATATTCTGACTAGCATTTTGAAATGTACCAGTGAATAACTATGTGTTCAAATATGTTCAATAATAAATGAATATAAATTATACATGTGTAAGTGTCTGTATCTCTTTACCCTTAAAATAGAGCGGTCCCTTCATCATTATACCCGAAATCCACTGTATATCATTATTTATAAATTTGAACTTAAATTATATAAAATTGAAATACTACTTGAAAAATAACCCGGTATAATAGTCTCTTTTAAATACTAAACTATTCATTGCTGTTTATATGGTGGTATTTGCTGAGCCGAAATTAATGCGCTGAACCGTTATGTAGATGTAGGAACGGAATATGAGATATGAAATAAACTGAATGTTATATTGATAATATGTCTAGTATGAGCGAGCAAAGATAAGGAAGAATGAGGCACAGATGGTAATAGACAAATAAAACGCATTGATTTATATACTTTTTGGTATAATGTTTATATTATTATTTGAAGTCTATTTCGATTACACAATTTTGGTGGGCTTAGATTCCGTAGCAAAATTATCGGCGCACCTACTTCCAGGTACAAAATATGAGGTGAAATTCCAGGTGGCTCGAGAGAATGGAGGAACTCTACAGGATAACGACAGCATCTACTTCTAATACAGAGTTCACCGATTTATATTTCACTTCAGCACTTTTGTATCATTTTCGGGGTTTGAGATTGCTCTTTCTTTTAGCCACGCACTATTACTATAACTTGATAAATGTGCGGCTTTTGAATCTTGTCGTAAATCAACACGCATATTAATTTTTAAAGATATCATTTTAACTTTAGGACATAAAAATGAAGATTTTAAGCATACTTGGACGTCATCTACACGTTTTCAGGGTGGTATGATAGGCAATATTTGTCTAAAGTACTCGGATAATAAAACTGTAATTACACCCATAAATCTATTGCAATTCCTTATATCCTGAAGTGTTCTATCTAGAGCCTCTACAACTTTTTATGGGCCATAGTAGACTCATCCGAAACTATTAATTTTGCTTTTCGTTGCACTTCTGCCAAGTCACTTTGTTTTAGTATATTGCACATAGTAATTTCGGAGCAACTTAAATGCAGAGTGTGCCGTTTTACCTCCGTTAATAAAGGTTGTGGCGATTCCTGGAGAAGAAACGACAATGACAATATTCTGGCCACCTCTTACAGTTGCCAATAGCAAATTTGTTAAAAATAACAAAACCTAGATCAGCGATTTGGACAAGTAACAAAAGAACGACATGACTGGTACTTGCATGTCGTTCTTTTGTTAACAATGCCGCTATCTGGCAAGACATTCATGTCAAATCGTCCGTACTCCGAGAAAGGTCCATGTCTAGCAGAGAACAGTTAACGGGTTCATAAAGGAAGAATGACAAACGTGAGTGACCAATGGGTTGAAAGAACACCCGCAGCATACAAATCAAGAAAGGCTGAAAATGGTTAAATTCTTACCCGCTATTGTAATGCCCAATCCATTTTCATCCTTCTTTAATTGCACTGTGAATCTATCAACTTCTGGTGATTCAGCATCTGTAACAGCAAAGTGGTATTTATACAACATGTAACATAATTAACGCACTTTGAGAAAGTAGTTGTTCAGAATCGTTTACTGAATCGATTCCTATCATTTTTAATATGGGTAATTTTTTATCAAGCCGGTTTCCGAAAAGGCTTCAGTACCATAGACCACATACATACCCTGCGGCAGATTGTACAGAAGACCGAGGAGTACAATCTGCCACTTTGCCTGGCGTATGTGGACTATGAGAAAGCCTTTGATTCCTTCGAACTTTGGGCGGTGCTACAGTCCCTTCAGCGGTGCCAAGTTGACTGTCGGTATATCGAAGTGCTGAAGTGTTTGTACAGTAGGGCTACGATGGCTATCCGAGTACAGAACCAGAGTTCGAAACCTATCCAACTGCAGAGAGGTGTAAGACAGGGTGACGTTATATCCCCGAAACTCGTCACTGCTGCGTTGGAAGACGTTTTCAAGCTACTGGACTGGAAAGGATACGGTATTAACATCAATGGCGAGTACATCACTCACCTTCGATTTGCCGACGATATAGTCATTATGGCAGTTATTATCATAGTGGCAGTGCTCGGAGTTTCTCTGCGTGATAGACTCAGAAATGAGGATATCCGCAGTAAAACCAGAGTGACCGACATAGCCCAACGGATTAGTAAGCTGAAGTGGCAATAGGCCGGCCATATAGCTCGAAGAACCGATAACCGATGGGGAAGAAAGGTTCTCGAGTGGCAGCCTCGTACCGGTGGGCGTGATGTGGGGCGACCCCCCACTAGATGGAGTGACGACCTGTTAAGACATGCAGGAAGTCGATGGATGCAGGTGGCTTAGGACCGTGCTTTGTGGCATTACTTGGGGGAGGCCTATGTTCAGCAGTGGACTTGTGAAGGGCTGTAATGATGATGATGATGATGATGAATTTTTTATCCCAAAAATAATTAAAACTACGTAAATTACAGTCACACTAAATCTGTACAGTCAAAACAAACAGAAATGGACCGTAACTTAAGGCAATAAGACTTTTAAGAGTGCAGTTTTATTTGTATTATTACTAATTCTGTCATTCAATAAAAATAAAGAATAATAAACTTTATTTCAAGAACTTTAAAGTCTTTGCGTTCGTGGATTTGTACTGTGACCACAATTCAACTCCAACAATGCAATTCCAAACGCACCATCTTCGATAAGAGAACACCATCATCAAGGGTTGGGTTATCATGAACGTGCGTCATTTCCGAGAGAAATCTTATCACACTAGATCATGTTCAGCAGCCTCCAGGATTTATAGAAGACGAATACGGTCCTCAACACCCAAACATCATTGCCACACACGACTGCTGGGCGTACTGCAAGAGACCTGGTCACGTTCACGCAATAGAGGCAGTGGAAGCAGTTTTCCGTCACTTCCAGTCCAATGTTTCAACAGGCTCACTGACCCCCAAGCGCCTGGTAGCTGTGTGAATCTGTAGATGATTCTTCCTTGCTGTCACTGCAACTAGACATAGGAGACCGCCATGATTTCTACAATTACGCGTTTGCGTGCTTAACGTACCATCTCACCAAAGAGTTTGAATGTCATTTTTGAGACTTATAAGTGCCGCATCCATTAGCCCACTACCATAGTTTAAGTATATGTTTTACAACAAAGTAATTTATATAATACCTGCATCAGGCGGCGGTGTAACAGCACTGCTAAATACGAATCTCGACGCTGGTGGATTACTTGGAACTGGTGTTGGTTGGGTGTTGAACACTTGCTCGAAACCAGTATCCAAGAGATACCGATCCAAAGCCTCCGGGTTGGACAGGAGTCTATACAGTACAAGAATATAATGTAGCAAATTTTATTATCATCATCATCATCATCGTTCTATAATAGCACAAATATGGAAGTAATCTCCTTCGTCTAGCCTCTGCAAAACTAAGGTGGATTAGGCATTGTTGCAACAATTTGGCTACCTACCACAGGAAATCAAAATATTAAAAAGTTTTAACATATTGTATAAAGTAAGCTAAAGCAACACAAAATAAAGAAATTCGGTAGGGATAAGAAAAACTTCGGACACTACCCGCTTTTTTAAACAATATTCTAAAAGATTGGTAACATGTTCATAAAAAGGTATAAGAAGTATTGCGAAACTAGTAAACAGTTTACTAAACTCTTTCCTTCCTTTTAATGTATTATTTTTCTAGCCTATACAACGTGTAACAAAAATCCTGTGGTTCCCGTTAACTGCGTTATCAGAATCAGTATTCAAACGTATTTTTTTTTGCAAAAAATTCGACCATATTTTTTTTTACTTAATTGAAAAAAATATTTGCTAATTGTATGTGGTTTTATTTCCTCTAACTCACACGAGTATCGGCAATGCGGGGTCTTTGACAATCCTCTTACTGCTCGGTCAATGCAGAGATAATAAAACCATATACAATATGCAAATTAATTTTTTTAATTAAAATTAATTTTTTAAATGTTTTTTTTTTTTGAAAAAAAAATTATTTCTATACGCTTGAATGTTAATTATTTACCTTTCATTAAAAACCAACCTTCTAGCCGGCTAGAACTAGATGCGGCCAGCAGTAGTTCGTTAAATTTAGATGTACTGTCAAATTTGTAAAAAATACGGAAAAACGTATAAAGTGACAGTAGGTCGCAGACATTTATTTAATTTATAAATTATGTATGACACATCTACCGCAATCGACTACACCTTGTATTAGCCGGCTACAGCTAGGTGTATCCGCATTTCGGCTATTAGCCGTAACATGTATTTATTAGCGTTACTTCAGATATGAGTAGATTTCATCTTAACCATAAATGGCTAAAGATATTTATTTTCAAAAGATTTAAATTGGTGATCGGAATTAAACACGTTTCATACCTTAGATGCTGCTGCCTTGTTAGCTCGCCATTCCCATAGTCGACGCTACTTCGTTCATAAAATTCTTATTTTTCATCATTGCAACCAGACGGTATAAAAGCGACGGACAAGTGTCTTCCCCAAATTGTGACAATAAGTCTTAATTACACGGCATCTCAACCAAGCCGCAATCATCTGGCATATTTGGAACTAAGATATTTGTTATATTTAGTCCGCCATCTATCTTCACATCTATGGAAAAATTGGGTGATGAAGTCCCCATAGCAACATATTTAATCAGGATTGTGGTTCTAAATTCTACGTAGCGGTCCAGCTTTGTGAATTACGTGTTTATCAAATTGTGGGCTTTCGGCATTACATCTATAGAAGTAAATAAAATGTTGAATGTTTGTAATGTCAAAGTAACAAGTTTTACTGAATGCATGTCGCGGGGAACAGCTAGTTCAGAATACCTATTTTCTAAGACACTGTAATTAAGCATACCTCAAATATTATCGCACAATCGTTACTTCCTTTACCTGATACCTAATACCTCCATTTTTGGTATACTCTTGTAGTACTATAATATTACGCTCTACTCAGTTTTCAATTACGACGTGAAATGAAAACTCTTTATTCTTCGACTTAAGAAATGAAAATTTCATTTCTAAACATCAGCAACTATTTTTTGTATTTTAATTGCGCAAGTGTGCTCATTTTTGTCAAGTTCAATGATACAATATTCTTCACGTTTAAGGATGTGTTACTGTTGGCTGAAATTGATCATATAATGATAATTTCTTAAATTTACGCGAGCACTACACATTGAATACAAATAGTTTTAACGATTTTGTCACGTTTCAATTTTAACTTTTTTTTAAATGAATATTTTCGGAATATTTTTGTTTTACTGTTGTCGACATGTACAATTTGTTGGACTTTTGCTTAACAACTATAAAGACTACGTGTCAAAATAGACATTATCATGATCCACCACCAATTACGAAAACGTTATTAATGTTATGATAATATAATAAGTATGAAAAAAATGAAACCTCGCAGGTACGATAGGAGCAATGGAAGCGTGTACCGCGGCCGGGTCAACGGCGCGGGCCACCACCAGTCGAACCCTGGACCCTGACGCCCGCAACACACCGGCCACTTGTTCCGACCCCATTTCCATAAGACTTACCTAAAAACGTTAATAACATTTTAACGATTTTTATTAAATAAAAGGGAAGTAAAATGTTTAAGTTGTTTAAGAGTGGTGATTATTGTACGTAGTAGAGCCCCGCTGTAGCTATATTATGGTTGTAGCACGAATGGGTCGGCTCGACCGGGGAAAGACCACGCTCTCACAGAATACTAGCGTAAAATAGCAGCTTAATACTGCTGTGTTTCTTATAACTGGACCTGTTTCTAAGGACTGCCCTTTTAACTAGAAACGAGACATTTCATCTAAGTCCTCAGGAGTGACAACGCATCTGTGTTTTGATTCTTAATCGAGGATAAATGTACCTATAACACGTGTATTCTTATTATTACACCAGTGTGGTATCCTTTTACGACTTGATCACGAAACGCAAGCATTTCTCTATTATGATTATATAAAATATTATGCAAGAAACTTTGAAGCGAATTCTTTTAATGATGGCAAAAAACCAGTTCATAGTTTGTAGTATCAAGCAGTTTTAAAGTTAAACAAAATACGCAGGCGGGAATAAGCGGCTGTTTTATACTACCAGGTCTTTACCTATGAAATTACTAATTTGATGGGGAAGAAAGGTTCTCGAGTGGCAGCCTCGTACCGGTAGGCGTAGTGTTGGGCGACCTCCCACTAGATGGAGTGACGACCTGGTAAGACATGCAGGAAGTCGATGGATGCAGGTGGCTCAGGACCGTGCTTTGTGGCATTACTTGGGGGAGGCCTATGTTCAGCAGTGATGATAGGAAAATTAAAATAAGTATTTTAATTTTTCCATTTTATATATAATTTTTATAATTGAAAAACTTCCAAAAATGTTTAAGACCTGTTAGTGCAGGATCTGAAAAATATGGTGGTTAAGAAAACTTAGTTTTAGCTCTGTTATTCTTTCCAATGTCTATTATTTAGTATGTGTGTATTGATCAAGATTGATGACGCTTCCAAGGAACAATGGTAAAATGCAATTCACCAATCAGAGTTGTCTGAGTGCCAGCTTTTTCGCCATCATTTACAAGTCTTTACAATAACGGTCAGAAATAATTGTGGCATCAGATGACAAAAAGCTATACGAGTAACACCAACATTAGACTACTAAACTGTCACCATTAGCTTTTTCTAGCTAATCTTTCAATTCTTTGCAATGATTTAGGCATATAATGGATCTAGCCACTGCGACACATGAACGTTTGCAAATGTCGTATAGGATCTATTTCTCATCTCAGGTTCTTTCTATGACGATTCAGCAATATGTTTTTCGCTGTGCCTCACCCATTTCGTGGTACTCATTTGTCAAGCTTCTTTATTTTAACGGCTTGCTGCAAAATATCTAATATTGTTTTGGCAATTACTTCAAGATCCGACTTTGGCTCAGCAGTAGTTCGAGACGGTTCCACTTCCTTCGAACCTTTTTTTCCGGGCGACGTGTAGATTCATTTGTAAGGTCAAAATTTCCCTAACGGAAGCTATTGAACCACTAGGGCCGTATTAGTCATTAATAACTGTTTTCACGTCGGAACTCATAGTCCAATTTTATGGTTATAATATTATTTAACACATTTTAACGATATTAAAAAAAATTTGCATTTGGCAAAATTCATGCCTTAAATATAAAATTTAATTTAATTGAAAGTCAAACTATAGCTGTTACAATTTAAAGTAACTAGCTCAATAAAACTGAAGTTATATTTATAATTTTTTTTTATTTAAGTTTAACTATTGGGACATTTTTTAAATGAAAGTGTGTGTTTTTCCTCAACTGCCCCAGAACGATGATAAAGTTTAGTGCAAATTACGCTGTATGCAGTGGCGAAGCTTCCATAGAAACCGAAAAGCCAGGCTTGCCCTATCAAACTGCTCGATCAATAATATCAATTAATAAGGTAACTCGAAAACTGTTTCAAACTATTTCAAATTTCCCCCGCTCCATTTCTAACCTGTGGCAAAATGTTCTATAATGAAATATAACTACGAAATGTATAAATAGCAATTAGTATGGACCAAAAATCCAGGCTTTGGTGTGAAGTTGTCGAGTGCGGGGGCGCGTAGGCGATACGTTTGCAAGTTCACTTCACACTTCAATGTTTACTCTGTTTGTTTACTTGAGTGAATGAATAACTACTTACTACTTTTTTTTTAAAGATTTTTAGTTAAAATGGAGGATAATAGTGTTCCTTGTGATGAATTAAAGTGTGTAAAAGTGCTTATCGGCGAAAAAAAGGAAAAATCTTTAAACTTTCTTGAGAAAATACACAAGGTCAAGAGCGTCTTTCAGACTTATCAATTATCGCAATTGAAAAACAGTTATTGGTACAGTTAAAACGTTCACCAATATTTTACGCTGACGTAATCAAATCTTTCCTTAAGAAAGAGAGACGATTCGATTTAGTATATAAATATATATTTTTTAATTTTGTACATAGATTTTTTTGTACCTTGTTCATGCTTTTTTTTGTTCATGTATTGTATTGTATGTAAATATCTTTTTCTTTCGCTCAAGCAAACCTAAACGGATTTTTTCAAAACCACCGAAGGTATGCAATTACTGATATGTCATACAATCTATCTAGCAGTCTATCTACACAACAATCACACACAACAATCTATCTAGCACACAGAAGGCGTACTGCCTTCTATGTGCTTTGTTAAACACGTTTTCGACAGCATTGAATATGAATCTGAAGAGTGGAGACAGATCAAGATTGGTGTATTTTTTTAAAACTGCTAAAAACAACAAAACCATAATCTTGGGCTTACCCTAGTTTGGAGCCCTAGCTTCGCCACTGTCTGTATGAATACATAAGGTATATTTTTCTGTTACTGTTAGTGATCTTCTGTAGCTTAAATTAATTCTGAAGTGCGAGGTGTGGTTAGATACGTCTTCATCTCGGAAGTATTTAACCCTCACTTCTTACTCTCTACGCTCACTTTTTGCTCACATTCGGAAAAATGTGTCATTCATTACAGTATCTATACATGAGTAAATCTTATCTGACTTCTCCTACTCGCCGACAGCACTACCCTCTCAAATAACCATACTTCATTATGGATATTATTTAAGTCGGGTAAAAGAGTGCCTCAGTTATCCACAACTGTTTTTCCAGAGGTAAGAAGTAATTTATTCTAAGACCATTTTAGCCATTTTTGCATGATAAGGTAATTACAGAATGTAGCGCGTAGATGCAGGGAACGCGGCCCGCGGCGCATGCGGCTCGCCGGTCTAATACTGGTGGCCCGCCGACAGCAAAAATAATACTCTCGTACATTCGAAAAATATTGAATTATATTCCAGAATAAAACCAAAAAAATATGTTCGAAAAGTAATTTGAATCTCGCGCGCGCGCTCTTAAGTGCGCTTATCGGTGCGCCGTGCATGCGTCGGTAAGAGCGGTCGGTAATGTTCGTGCTGATCTCGGTTAAATTCGTTTTCTTGAGGAAGGCCGGCGGCGCGGCGACGACGGCAGCGCAGTTGCGGCTTATCAGCGGGTTATATTGTTAGAGCAAGCGAGATCGCAATAGTCCCGAATTCCCGATTGCTCGCGTAGGTAGATACACGAAGCTTCCAGTCGGTTTCGTGATTTCTCCAGACAGTTTTCGACTCTATACGCGCGGTATAAAAGCCACGCTAACCGCAGCGACCGAAAGTTCGGTTATTTGAGTGAAGTGTCAATAGTTCTAGTGTAGATTTTAACTCGACTAGCCGGTATCATATATTTTGATCCACATTCAACGTAGATTTCCCGTCAAGTGCCGTGTATAATTGTGTTGTGAAATCTTAAGTAAAATTCTGTTATTAATAAGTGTTTCCCTACCTATTTAATCAATTATTTTTGGTAATTTAAAAAAGGATGGGTAATTTAAGCAAGTACTGTAATTGTTTTTAGGTGCTGTGTTAATCCTAGCCAGGATCAGAACGCATCATGGACAAGCCAGGACCTAGTAAAAAACGTAAGGTTAAAGATCAAAATTGGCAGTTTCAAGAAATTTTGACTGAGAAATAATTTTTTGTATGGTCGCATAACAAAGTCGTTTGTTTAATTCGCAAGAATTCTGTTACAATTGCAAAGGAATATAATGTAAAAAGGCACTATGAAACGCAGCATCCTACTTTTACCAAGTTTACAGGCGAATTAAGAAATCAAAAAATGTTGTCTTTAAAACGGGAGCTTATTGGTCAGCAAGCTATGTTTACAAAACCCATTCAAGATTCAGAAACAGCTACAGAAGTTAGTTATGAAATTTTTCGAACGATAGCAAAGCGAAGTCGCCCCTTCAATGATGGGGATTTTGTAAAAGAATGCATAGAAATTGCCGCTAAGAAAATGTGTCCAGAAGCGGCAAAAAAGTTTGAGAAAATTCAACTGAATTGTATGACTATCCAAAGACAAATTATGTCTTTGTCAGGTAATATTGCGGAACAATTAAATGAAAAAACTAAGATCATTGAATTTTTTTCATTAGCACTCGACGAATCCACTGATATTAGTTCCACAGCTCAACTTCTGCTATTCATATGAGGTGTTACTCAAGATTTTGAAGTCTTAGAAGAGTTATTAGGAATGTGTTCATTGAAAGGTCAAACCAGAGTAGTTGATATACTCAATGTACTTTTGGATGAGTGTTCAAAAACTGATTTGGACTTAACAAAATTTTTAGGAGTTGCGACTGACGGTGCTCCTTCGATGATTGGTGTCAATTCTGGGCTAGTTACTTTGCTGAAAAAGCATCTGCAAGAAAAAAACATAAACGCTGAAGATCTCATGCAGTTTCACTGCATTATACACCAAGAAGCCCTCTGTTCTAAAAAAAATTGAATTTCAAAATGTCATGAAAGTGGTAGTTTCGACTGTAAATTTCATAAAATCACGAGGACTCAATCACAGGCAATTCAAACAATTCCTTGATGACATCGAAAGCGAATATGGAGATTTACTGTATTATACAGAAGGTGTTATTGTAGTTGTAAGTTGTATTTATATATTATTGTCTGTACTGTCAATACATATTTATATATTTGCACGCCATTAAAACATGAATAAACATTTTAATTTTTTTTTTGTCTATTTGGGTTAATATTCGGGATGGTTGAACCAATTGTAATGAAACTTCAAGAACATAGAGAGAGTAATGCCAGGTATAGTATATGCCAGTAGGCTATATTCTTTACGAAAAATTTTGATATTAAAAAAAGGACGAAAAATTTTGATATTTAAAAAAAATTACGAAAAATTTATGAAATAAATGGTCTTTGTTTATCATAAATCTAAATGTCGCCACATCAATAGATCGTTACCCAGGCGAAGTCGGGCAGATTGCTGGTTATTAATAAAATAGAAAATTATATTATGGTACCTACATCATATGTAGTACATATACTACCTATATAATTTTCTATTTTATTGATAGTTTTTTTATGAATATAATAATAGAAAAGATAATAGAAAACTTAAAGCGTCACTTACATCTCCTATTTGCAATATATGATCTCCTGACTTGAGTCTGCCGTCACGATCTGCGACACCACCCGCCAAAATAGTTTTTACAATGACACCAGTTGTTCGAGCGCCAATAATACCTGAAATACATTATAATAATAGTAATATTGTTATTTGTATAAAAATATTGATGTAATTAAGATAAGCAAATTGTAATAACTTCATCAATGAATTTGCTCAGCAACATGTAGAATTGTGAGTATATTTTTTTGACATTACGAAATGGAATGCATACATTTACAATTAACGGATGAACAAACAATGATCGGTAATTACCAAATCCTAATCCAGTTCCATCGTTTACTAAGTTGATAGTCTCAACTTGAGCCCAGTCACCGGCGACTATGTTGGTAGAAGTCGAAGCTAAAGAGTCGTCATTGCGCGACAAGTCCAGCAAACCACGCGACTGCAAAATAAAGTAAAAGCTTGACACAAAAAAAATGCTAAACTTTTATGTCTATATTCCAAAATATCATAATATTCCTACGACAACAGGATAAAAACAACAACATTAAATAAATATTACTTTTGCAGAGAAGTTCCAATTTTTTATCTTTATCATTATTAACATTAACTATGTTTGCCATGTCGTAGACGGTATTGAAACGACCTATCACATACTCGTATCTCCCTCCAATCAGTAAAGTTCAACTTATATCTTGTGGCCTGTGATAAAGGACAGAATAACCATATGTCCAAAGCTGTTCGTAAGCTTAAAGAAATTGGGTTACTTTCTTAAGTTTTAAACACTTTGCAAGCGGATTCTCTATAGAAAAACATATTACATGCTCTTAGGCGAACTAGGCCATGTGGTGGCGGTTAAGAATATCCACTACCCCATATCTTCCCGTGGGTGTCGTAAAAGGCGACAGAGGGAGACAGGCAGGAGATGGGCAGCAGCATCTTCCTGATAACAGCAACTGTACGACAAAAAAAACTGCGGTTGCCAACCCGCTCGCCAAGCGTGGCAACTATGGCAATATACCCCCCATGAACAATTACACAAATAGACGGCCCCCAGTCCCCGGCGGCCCCGCTATTCCTGGCTACGGTGGCGACCATGGTAACGGCGGGGCAGAGGGTGCTAAGAATCTCCGGTGGAGGTTCGGTTGCCACCTACGACGACTCGACCTGGCAACATTTAACGCACGCACCCTGAGGACTGACGAGAAGATCCTGGAGCTGGAAGAAGAGATAGACAAGTTGCGCTGGAGTATTATAGGATTATCCGAGGTCCGAAGAGAGGGGGAGGACACGGTGATTCTCGAATCCGGCAACTTGTTCTATCACCGGGAGGGCCACCATCTGTCCCAAGGAGGTGTCGGATTTATCGTCCACAAGTCTCTCGTCAACAACGTTGTAAAGATTGGGAGTGTGTCGACGAGGGTCGCGTACCTGATACTCAGAATCACCAAACGGTATTCGCTGAAGGTCATACAGGTTTACGCACCAACCTCGGCACATTCCGATGAGGAGGTGGAGGAAATGTATGAGGATATTTCCAAAGCCATGCATTCCTCCAAAACCCACTACACGGTGTTGATGGGAGACTTCAACGCAAAACTAGGCACAAGAGAAAACGGTGAGCTGAAGTTAGGGAAATTTGGAGTAGGGCAACGGAACCGAAGGGGCCAGCAGCTGGCCGACTTTATGGAGAAAGAAGAACTCTTTATGATGAACTCTTTCTTCCAGAAGCGGCCCCACAGGAAGTGGACCTGGTCGAGCCCCGACGGTTCGACAAAAAATGAGATTGACTTCATTATGACGACCAGACGCCAACTGTTCAGTGATGTCTCAGTGATCGCAAGGGTGAAAACTGGCAGCGATCACCGAATGGTTAGAGGCACACTGAACCTAAACGTTAAGTTGGAGAGGTCTCGTCTAATGAAGTCAACGCTCCGTCCCCCTCGTGCTCTAATCCAAAATCCCGAAATCTTTCAGCTCGAGTTACGTTCCCGCTTTCAGTGCCTACAAGATTGCAATGCAGTGGACGATATGAATGACAAGCTCGTGGAAACTGTCCATGCGGTCGGAGCTAAGTTCTGCAAGACCCGCCGCAGAAGAACACAAAAACTCTCCGATCACACTCTTAATCTCATGGCTGTTAGACGGGAGATGAGGCTGCAATCGTCAACAGATTTGACAGCATACATGCAACTGAACAGACAGATCTCCAAATGCATGCGGCGAGACTTACGCAACTTTAATACTGCTAGTATTAAAGAAGCGATCGAGCGGAACCAGGGCTCCAAAGTCTTTGCCAGAGATCTGTCTGCCCGTAAGAGCCAACTGTCAAGGCTGAAGACTGAGTGTGGCAGCATTGTTTCCGGGACACCTGAGATTTTGAGTGAGATTGAGAGGTTCTATGGGCAGCTGTACACATCATCGTTGGAGCCACACGCAAGTGTGAGTAACTATCCAAGAGCAAGTCTTATCCGACACTATTCCGATGATATCCCGGACGTCAGTCTAAGCGAGATTAGAATGGCTCTCCAGCACCTTAAAAACAGCAGGGCCCCAGGCGAGGATGGAATTACAGCGGAGCTTCTGAAAGCGGGTGGAACACCGGTACTTGAAGTCCTTCAGAAGCTCTTCAATTCCGTCCTCCATGGTGGCACTACTCCAGAGGCGTGGAGCAGAAGTGCGGTGGTCTTGTTCTTTAAGAAAGGCGACAACGCTCTCTTGAAGAACTACAGACCGATTTCCCTTCTGAGCCGCGTCTACGTGCTGTTTTCGAGAGTCATTACGAATCGTCTCGCACGCAGACTCGACGACTTCCAGCCTCCCGAACAAGCCGGTTTCCGAAGAGGCTTCAGTACCATAGACCACATACATACCCTGCGGCAGATTGTACAGAAGACTGAAGAGTACAATTTGCCACTTTGCCTGGCGTATGTGGACTATGAGAAAGCCTTTGATTCCGTCGAAATTTGGGCGGTGCTGCAGTCCCTTCAGCGGTGCCAAGTTGACTGTCGGTATATCGAAGTGCTGAAGTGTTTGTACAGTAGGGCTACGATGGCTATCCGAGTACAGAACCAGAGCTCCGAAACCTATCCAACTGCAGAGAGGTGTAAGACAGGGTGACGTTATATCCCCGAAACTCTTCACCGCTGCTTTGGAAGACGTTTTCAAGCTACTGGACTGGAAAGGATACGGTATTAACATCAATGGCGAGTACATCACTCACCTTCGATTTGCCGACGATATAGTCTTTATGGCAGAATCGCTGGAGGACTTAAGCACTATGCTCAATGACCTCAATAGTGCCTCCCAACGGATAGGTCTTAAGATGAACATGGACAAAACAAAGATCATGTTTAATGTCCATGTCACACCTATGCCGGTAGTTGTTGGGAGCACTATGCTCGAAGTTGTTGACGAGTACGTTTACCTGGGACAAATAGTCCGACTAGGTAAGTCCAACTTCGACCGAGAGGTCAATCGACGGATTCAACTCGGCTGGGCAGCGTTCGGGAAATTACGACACATCTTCTCGTCAGGTATACCTCAATCTCTGAAAACTAAAGTGTACAACCAGTGCGTGTTGCCAGTGATGACTTACGGATCAGAGACGTGGTCCTTCACTGCTGGCCGTATGAGGACGCTCAAGGTCGCTCAGCGAGCTATGGAGAGGGCTATGCTCGGAGTTTCTCTGCGTGATAGACTCAGAAATGAGGATATCCGCAGTAGAACCAGAGTGACCGACATAGCACAACGGATTAGTAAGCTGAAGTGGCAATGGGCCGGCCATATAGCTCGAAGAACCGATAACCGATGGGGAAGAAAGGTTCTCGAGTGGCAGCCTCGTACCGGTAGGCGTAGTGTAGGGCGACCCCCCACTAGATGGAGTGACGACCTGGTAAGATATGCAGGAAGTCGATGGATGCAGGTGGCTCAGGACCGTGCTTTGTGGCATTACTTGGAGGAGGCCTATGTTCAGCAGTGGACTTGTGAAGGGCTGTGATGATGATGATGATGATGAGGCGAACTTATACGCTAGCCTATCATCATCATCATCATCATCATCATTACAGCTCTTCACAAGTCCACTGCTGAACATAGGCCTCTCCCAAATAATGCCACAAAGCACGGTCCTGAGCCACCTGCATCCATCGACTTCCTGCATGTCTTACCAGGTCGTCACCCCATTTAGTGGGGGTCGCTCTACACTACGTCTACCGGTACGAGGCTGCCACTCGAGAACCTTTCTTTCCCATCGGTTATCGGTTCTTCGAGCTATATGGCCGGCCCATTGCCACTTCAGCTTACTAATCCGTTGGGCTATGTCGGTCACTCTGGTTTTACTGCGGATATCAATAGCTCTTCAATTCCGTCCTCCATGGTGGCACTACTCCGGAGGCGTGGAGCAGAAGTGCGGTGGTCTTGTTCTTTAAGAAAGGCGACAACGCTCTCTTGAAGAATTACAGACCGATTTCCCTTCTGAGCCGCGTCTACGTGCTGTTTTCGAGAGTCATTACAAATCGTTTCACACGCAGACTCGACAACTTCCAGCCTCCCGAACAAGCCGGTTTCCGACAAGGCTTCAGTACCATAGACCACATACATACCCTGCGGCAAATTGTACAGAAGACCGAAGAGTACAATCTGCCACTTTGCCTGGCGTATGTGGACTATGAGAAAGCCTTTGATTCCGTCGAACTTTGGGCGGTGCTACAGTCCCTTCAGCGGTGCCAAGCTGACTGTCGGTATATCGAAGTGCTGAAGTGTTTGTACAGTAGGGCTACGATGGCTATCCGAGTACAGAACCAGAGCTCGAAACCTATCCAACTGCAGAGAGGTGTAAGACAGGGTGACGTTATATCCCCGAAACTCTTCACCGCTGCTTTGGAAGACGTTTTCAAGCTACTGGACTGGAAAGGATACGGTATTAACATCAATGGCGAGTACATCACTCACCTTCGATTTGCCGACGATATAGTCTTTATGGCAGAATCGCTGGAGGACTTAAGCACTATGCTCAATGACCTCAATAGTGCCTCCCAACGGATAGGTCTTAAGATGAACATGGACAAAACAAAGATCATGTTTAATGTCCATGTCACACCTATGCCGGTAGTTGTTGGGAGCACTATGCTCGAAGTTGTTGACGAGTACGTTTACCTGGGACAAATAGTCCGACTAGGTAAGTCCAACTTCGACCGAGAGGTCAATCGACGGATTCAACTCGGCTGGGCAGCGTTCGGGAAATTACGACACATCTTCTCGTCAGGTATACCTCAATCTCTGAAAACTAAAGTGTACAACCAGTGCGTGTTGCCAGTGATGACTTACGGATCAGAGACGTGGTCCTTCACAGCTGGCCGTATGAGGACGCTCAAGGTCGCTCAGCGAGCTATGGAGAGGGCTATGCTCGGAGTTTCTCTGCGTGATAGACTCAGAAATGAGGATATCCGCAGTAGATCCAGAGTGACCGACATAGCACAACGGATTAGTAAGCTGAAGTGGCAATGGGCCGGCCAGATAGCTCGAAGAACCGATAACCGATGGAAGAAAGGTTCTCGAGTGGCAGCCTCGTACCGGTAGGCGTAGTGTAGGGCGACCCCCCACTAGATGGAGTGACGACCTGGTAAGATATGCAGGAAGTCGATGGATGCAGGTGGCTTAGGACCGTGCTTTGTGGCATTACTTGGGGGAGGCCTATGTTCAGCAGTGGACTTGTGAAGGGCTGTGATGATGATGATGATGATGAGGCGAACTTAGACGCTAGCCTATCATCATCATCATCATCATCATTACAGCTCTTCACAAGTCCACTGCTGAACATAGGCCTCTCCCAAGTAATGCCACAAAGCACGGTCCTGAGCCACCTGCATCCATCGACTTCCTGCATGTCTTACCAGGTCTTCACTCCATCTAGTGGGGGTCGCTCTACACTACGCCTACCGGTACGAGGTTGCCACTCGAGAACCTTTCTTTCCCATCGGTTATCGGTTCTTCGAGCTATATGGCCGGCCCATTGCCACTTCAGCTTACTAATCCGTTGGGCTATGTCGGTCACTCTGGTTTTACTGCGGATATCAATAGCTCTTCAATTCCGTCCTCCATGGTGGCACTACTCCGGAGGCGTGGAGCAGAAGTGCGGTGGTCTTGTTCTTTAAGAAAGGCGACAACGCTCTCTTGAAGAATTACAGACCGATTTCCCTTCTGAGCCGCGTCTACGTGCTGTTTTCGAGAGTCATTACAAATCGTCTCACACGCAGACTCGACAACTTCCAGCCTCCCGAACAAGCCGGTTTCCGAAAAGGCTTCAGTACCATAGACCACATACATACCCTGCGGCAAATTGTACAGAAGATCGAAGAGTACAATCTGCCACTTTGCCTGGCGTATGTGGACTATGAGAAAGTCTTTGATTCCGTCGAACTTTGGGCGGTGCTACAGTCCCTTCAGCGGTGCCAAGCTGACTGTCGGTATATCGAAGTGCTGAAGTGTTTGTACAGTAGGGCTACGATGGCTATCCGAGTACAGAATCAGAGCTCCAAACTTATACAACTACAGAGAGGTGTAAGACAGGGTGACGTTATATCCCCGAAACTCTTCACCGCTGCATTGGAAGACGTTTTCAAGCTACTGGACTAGAAAGGATACGGTATTAACATCAATGGCGAGTACATCACTCACCTTCGATTTGCCGACGATATAGTCCTTATGGCAGAATCGCTGGAGGACCTTAGCACTATGCTCAATGACCTCAATGGTGTCTCCCAACGGATAGGTCTTAAAATGAACATGGACAAAACAAAAATCATGTTTAATGTCCATGTCTCACCTATGCCGGTAGTTGTTGGGAGCACTATGCTCGAAGTTGTTGACGAGTACGTTTACCTGGGACAAATAGTCCGACTAGGTAAGTCCAACTTCGACCGAGAGGTCAATGGACGGATTCAACTCGGCTGGGCAGCGTTCGGGAAATTACGACACATCTTCTCGTCAGGTGTACCGCAATCTCTGAAAACTAAAGTGCATAAACAACCAGTGCGTGTTGCCAGTGATGACTTACGGATCAGAAACGTGGTTCTTCACAGCTGGCCGTATGAGAACGCTCAAGGTCGCTCAGCGAGCTATGGAGCTAGCCTATGCTAATGATATTTTATTTGCCAGTTCTTAAACTGGTGATCAAATTCAGGTTTAATAATGAGAAACTGCTCGTATTAAACTGACTACTATGAAATGCTACAACGAAATTCAAGGTAAGCACCTGGTCTCTGAAATATTTTTACTCTAAAAAAATAAAATCAGAAAAAAGCAATTAATTTTTAACCTGTTTTGGAGACATGCTGGAATCAACAGAAGCTGTATCAAGACCTATTATTCGCTCATTTTCTGAGTTTGACCCGAACTCCAAGCTATGTGGTGGTGAAACCTGCGGCACTCTTTGCTCTTCCTCTCCCTCGTGCGAACCATAAAGGTTTCTCGTTTGCAAAGCTAAATCACCTTCAACAGAATGAGAATATTTGATTTTGTACGCCGAAAACAATATTGCTATTTCTACTCCATTTATATAATAATGAGGTTGTTACATTATATTTAATAGAATAAAAAATTACATTGTGAAAATAAAGTCTAATAGAATTAAAATAATAGCCGCAGATAATGTTCATTTCAGCAGTATGGTGGCAGCATAAGATAATCAATTACACCATTTCCTGTGGGTGTCCATAAGGAGGTTACGAAAATGTCGGAAAGATCTTATGGCTCCCGATTGATGGCGGTATAATCATCTTGTTAATGCCAGGTGGAAAATAAATGGCCCGGCGACGAAGAGCAGCGTCAAAGATGCGAGACGTGTGGTAATGCGATCGACACTCAGCTAGACATGTGTCAATCATGAATGATTCGTTCGTTTAAGCTGGTACACTTAAAAATATTGATGGTTCATTAATCTGTTTTTGAATGTTCCGGTACAACCAACCAATCACAAACAATTGGCGGAATTTTTTATCTCGTGATTGTTGTGAATTGTGAATGAATCGAAAACCGACCGAATCCTGAATGATCTGAATGATCGATTCGAATGTACCGGGTACTAGTAGAGGCAAATGTACTAGAATGATTGGGTCACGAGAAATGAATGATTGACACATGTCTACCTACCACATATATTACAATTTTACCCTCAACATTATCAATACATAACAAGAACATAACATGTTCATCTATAACAACACAGTGCGACGATGCGTTCACACGCATTTACCTTCTTCATCCGCTCCAGGAAAACATAGGTTAAAATAATTTTTAATTAAAGAATACTCTAAGCTTTAATTATGCCGTTTTATATGGTTTCACATAAAACCATCAATAATCAAATAATAAAAAATCTTTCAAATGCAACAAAATCTCTTCAGCTACTTATGTCTTCAATTTTGAATTGCCATTGTGTGTCATCACATGCCTTTTTTGACACATTCCGATTTCACACTATAGAGTGAAGAGCCCCATTCACCCTGTGTCCTGCATTCACTCTTCATTCTATGTTTAGTATCCCTGCTAGATACAGAAACTCATCCACTTGCTCAACCTAATCTCTTTTATTTTATTTCACATATTATTTTACTCTTTAAAAAACTGAATGCAAAATTTTTGCTGTGTTTTTCAATTAAGTATTTCAAATATAACTACTGAAATTACAATCTAGCCAAATTATCATTGCAAACTCACTGCTCAAAGACATGCCCTTTGCGAAGTTAAGTTGAAAGTGTCCCAACCCTATTTCTGATATTTATTTTAAACATAATATTACGCATTAATATATATATATATATATATATATATATACATATATATATATATATACACACATATATATATATATATATATATATATATATTACTAAGCATTTATATGGGAGCTTTCAATCTATTATAAATAGTAAGTTTTTCAGTAAAAAACAGATATTTTCTGCAGAACAAATTGAGGTAATATTCTAGTGGTACCTAAAGTAGATTGACTAAAACTAGAATTTTTTTAGTAAGTGCATAAAATTAGTGCAACAATCGAACATAAAATTTAAAAAACTTGTTAAGGAAATTTTGTTAAAGAAGCCGTCATTATTAAAACTGTCATTTAAGAAATATTTTTTTTAATAAGTAGATATAATAGAATAAGTAGATAGGTGGATATGTGGCCCATAGAAACCTACATCTATCCTTGACTAAGAATGAAAAAACATATGCACTGTGGACTGAGGACCAGAGGACCAGACAGAATGTCTTCTATCTAGTAAAAAGGGTCTTCAGCGCTCTACACTCACTATATGAAACACAGCTGTATTGAACCGCTATTTTATGCTGTTATTCTGTGAGAGTGTTGTCCTTCCCAGGTCAAGGTGATTTATTCATACTACAACTATAATATAACAGCAACATAGCATACCTCTGAGAAGAATCAATACCATGTCCAAATATATATAAAAGACCCAAATGTTTCACGCTGGTTTTTGTCTGAGGTATTATTTTTTGGGAACTAATATAGATTTTGACATTTACTAGGCTTTATATAAGCCTAAATTGAATAGAAAGTTTTGACTTTGAAATGGGAAATATACCTAAAAATTCTCATTTAACAAAAATTTTGATTATTTCTACCAAAAATCAAATAATAATACTAACCAGCTGGAGTAATATCAAAATCCCCTGGAAGAATTGAAGGATGATGAGCGACCTGAGTAGCTAACATAGCAACAGAATCATGTAAGGTTGCAATACTTCTTAAAATTGGACTTTCCAAAAGGTTAATAAGCATATTTAGGTCATCATTTGTTGCAGCCTGAAACATTAAATACATAATGATTTCTTATACTTACGCAAACACTACACATTGAAATAACACTAGTTTTTACGAAATTTATAAATTCCGTTGATAAATTCCGTAAAAACTAGCATTATTTCAACATTAAATACACTATGTAATAATAATACTACAATAATAATAATATTAGTAGTAGTAATAAAATAAAATAAGACCCGTAGTCATTTCTGCAAATGGGCTAATCCCAGTCATAGACCATTAAGTATCTATTCATCTTACGAACTGGATAATTCGAGTTGATCATTCAAATGGATCATTTCGAGCTTCAGTACTCTGTGACAGACAGCTCCTGGCTCAAATTCAGAAGGCAGTGCTCCTCGATACCGCCTGTATCGTCCACCAGTTTCTTTCCTTTTCCCCCTAACCCTCGGCCATTTGGTCTCCCCTGCCGAGTTAGTCCATCTATTTGGGCTTTTATTTATTTATGTATTATTTATTTATTTTTGTTAGTATATTAAATATATATTTATGTATATTTATCATTTCCTTTTACATATTTATTCAGCCCAACCAGATAATAATACTCTATGAATACCCCATAACAAAATTATATGGTCTTATTCCAAAAAATATTTTAATACTGATTAAAACTACTTTTACGGATTTTATCGCGTTTATTTTTACTTTTTATTTTTAATACCCGACGTTTCGGGCGCTTTCCAGCACCCATGGTCACGGGGGGACTGAGATGACTGACGTCCCGATGTCATTGTTAAACCCGGAGTACCTTCAGCTTTTTTAATTATTGTTTATGGTCCGATCTATGCAAAATGAACTGACTATGTCTTGAGGTCTTGCAGTGGTATGCTTGGGTTTAGTTTTAATTTTATTGATTATAGGATCCCAAGCAGGTGGTAGTACCCAGCCTCCTTCTCTATTGAAATTAGGATGTTTTTTAATTTCAATAGCCTCATGTATCATCCTTGGTAGGAATCGGTGTTCTTTCGCGAGGATTTGTGGTCTATCAAATCTGATGTAATGGTTGGGCCGTCTAGGATATGATCACAAACTGCAGACTTCCCGGAACGTTGATGCTTCACATCAGCTATATGTTCTTTTACGCGGGTCCTAATTGATCTTTTGGTTTGTCCTATATAAGAGAGACCACATTCACAATCAAGCTTGTACACTCCTGCATCTTGTAGAGGAATATGACACTTGACGGATGGTAGGAACTGACTAATCTTCTTCGGCGGCTTGTAGAATGTTCTAATAGAAGCTCACTTCAAGATATAGCCAATCTTGTCAATTTACTATGGAGTTAGAGGCAAATAATTCCTTACCTTTCCTAGATGTATTAGTCATCCGAAATCCTAATAACACCATTGGTCACACTGTGTATAGGAAAAAGACCCATACAAACCGATATTTAAACGGTGAATCTCACCACCATCCTTCACAGTTAGCTACCGTGGGCAAATCTTTGTTACAGAGAGCACGAGGGATCTGTGACAGCAAACACCTGGCCGCCGAGCTTCAGCACGTCAAGCAAGTTCTGCACGACAACAAGCTTCGGGTCCCGCGCCTACGTCACAGTGACCGAGTGAAGCCGGCCACAGTCGAGCGTGTGCCTGCTGTACTACCATATGTCAGAGGTGTCACAGACAAGATTGGCTATATCTTGAAGCGAGCTTCTATTAGAACATTCTACAAGCCGCCGAAGAAGATTAGTCAGTTCCTACCATCCGTCAAGTGTCATATTCCTCTACAAGATGCAGGAGTGTACAAGCTTGATTGTGAATGTGGTCTCTCTTATATAGGACAAACCAAAAGATCAATTAGGACCCGCGTAAAAGAACATATAGCTGATGTGAAGCATCAACGTTCCGGGAAGTCTGCAGTTTGTGATCATATCCTAGACGGCCCCAACCATTACATCAGATTTGATAGACCACAAATCCTCGCGAAAGAACACCGATTCCTACCAAGGATGATACGTGAGGCTATTGAAATTAAAAAACATCCTAATTTCAATAGAGAAGGAGGCTGGGTACTACCACCTGCTTGGGATCCTATAATCAATAAAATTAAAACTAAACCCAAGCATACCACTGCAAGACCTCAAGACATAGTCAGTTCATTTTGCATAGATCGGACCATAAACAATAATTAAAAAAGCTGAAGGTACTCCGGGTTTAACAATGACATCGGGACGTCAGTCATCTCAGTCCCCCGTGACCATGGGTGCTGGAAAGCGCCCGAAACGTCGGGTATTAAAAATAAAAAGTAAAAATAAACGCGATAAAATCCGTAAAAGTAGTTTTAATCATGTGCAATGTTCGCGTAAATATAAAAAATCATTATATTTTAATACTGGTTTAAACCAAGACTAAAAGATCCACGTTTGTTAAAGTATAAATGAATAATAATAACTTAACATGGAATTTATTTTCAATAAAATTCATTATAAATTTGAATATAATACTTGTTTCTGTTTATATATTATGTTATATTACATGTTTTAGTGCTTTTACTTCATTACAAATAGATTTTAATTGTATTTTCATAGTAACAAATGTACCTACCCAGCGCAGGACAGCAGTGTGAATATCACAATTATTTCTATATATTACTCAAAATTATTTACATTAAAAGATAAATTATATTCACACAAAAACTTTTTTATAAACAATTTTATAATAAAACACTATAACTAAACACTAACAACACACTAGAAAAATCCAATAACACGCCACATCTAACACGTACGAAATGAACGTAGATTATAAATAAATATAATAGACTAACTGAGTTTTTATTGCATTAGAGGATAGAAAATTTCACATGGAGCCTATAATACCAAACTTCTTCATAGGCAAGTAGTCTCTAAATATAAGTTTTTATGGTTTAAAGGGCTGTGGGTGGCTGTGGTCAGATCCAACCGCTTGGAATTTGATGGATAATCACCTTGGTTGGATCTGACCGTGTGCATATTGAAGGGTTAAACTTCGAAAACACTTTTACTTAAATTTAAAATATTTTTAATATAGTTATGATATGGATGATTGTGTGAATTTACCTTGAGTTTTGGGTCATCTGTTTGATCAACTGCAACCTTCACACTTTCTAATTGCTGGAGAGCATTTGATATATTTACTCCGAGGTGCATGCTACAATAAGATTATAAAAAGACATCAATCAAATAGATAAAATATAAATCAGCTTAACATAAAATTCTAATAATTATTTGTATCCCATCAAAACTTCCAAAATTAAAGTTATAGCCTATAATGAATAAATGTTTCCATCCATCCATTACAGCCTTACAGCAATTGTCTCACAGGGGGATTTTACCATAGTTGCCACTGCCTATGCCCTTCTCTACTTTTTACAATTTTACCATAGTTGCCCATGCCCTTAGCAGACAGGTTGCTAAGGGCAGTGTTTTATTATTTTAAGTTGTTATCAGGAAGATGCTGCTTCTCATCTACTGTTTTAGTTTGTTTCTGTCGCCTCTTACAACACCCACAGAGCAATATGGGGTGGTGGATATTTAGGCTTACCTTTAGATTAACTGTTCAAAGTTCTCACTTTCAAATGATTAATGTTTAAAACATCTACTTTTTAAGTTACATTATAAAGTTTCAGCGCTCAGAAGCTCATAAAATAAAAGCTCATAAAAAAAAAAATTAAATATGTTGCTTGTTTGACATAATGGTACACATCATAGACTTAGAATAGTAACGCCAGTATATTCTAAGTCTACAATACACATTTATCCTGTTGCATTTTGTTTAGGGTAGTTGTCGTTGTTTCGTAAAATTGAAATAGTGTTATTTTTGTATGTTGTATATTAAAAATAAAATAAAGTAAAAAAAAATATTAATGTCAAAGTTTAAACTATTTCCTGGCTAAAACTAATTGAGTTAAAAATACCTTTATAGTCAATCAATTTAAGAACAAAGTAGTTCATTCTTTGCTAAATTAGTTTGTCTTAAGCTAGCTTAACTAAATGATAAACATGTACTTGACCCTGTAGGGAAGTGATATCAGCACAGTAGTTTGAGAGAAAATTTATAAAATAAAGACAATGCTTTGCGGCGGCCTGATGTGGCACCAATCCAGTGTTTATATTCACAAATTCTTTCAAAGGTAACTGCTTATAGTATTAACAATTAGTGTCACGTAGGGATATGTTAGCTATCGCAGTTTTTTTTTTTAATTTTTTTTTAAAATAGATGTTAGAAAGATGCTGTCGCCAATCTTCGGGTTTGTTTCCATCTGTAGTCTCTGACGACATCCATGAGACGATATAGAAAAATAAATCTACAAAATCTATAAATTATTTATGTTTTCGAATTACAGTAAATCAGTTACCCAACCGAACGAAATGAAATCACGAATATAATTATAAACTTACGTTGTTATTGGTTACTACTATACACCTCTCGTTAGAGTAGTTTATTCCTTATTAGATAAGTAGCAAGTAGGTACTTCTTATTCTACTGTATATATAAATAATTCTGGCTTCTACTGTTCAGATTTGTGAATAATAAACAATACAATACATAATTCTTTCCTTTTATATTTACCATAGATTACTAACTATATATGATATTTACTATACTCCATAGATTACGTATCCTCCATAGATAAATAAATATGTAGCAAGCTAGTATCCTCTTAGTAGTCTGTGATAGATTCGTAGACGGAGACAGAGAAACTCGAACAAGATGGGTGCGTTTGGCAGAAAAAAGCGCTAGCAAGCGCTTGTAAGCAAAATGGCGATCGTAAGCGGTAAGCGCTGTCAAATCGAAAGTAGCTATTTTCCTCTAGGACACGATGTTAGTTTTAACCGGGGAACCTAACCTAATTTAAATATATGTCTGTAAAGTATTCATATTAAAAACTTACCAATCATGAATTTTTAATAACATGTATATGTCTATTCATGTCATTATATTACTTAAAACTAATTATTGCAAAAAACAACTTAGAAACTCTACTTCAAAACAAACAATTACATAAGCAAAATGGCGGATTGTGTCAGCGCTACTGAAGTAGCAATCGTGTCCTGGCCGAAAGCTATTTTAGCGCTTGTAAGCGCTTGCTAGCGCTTTTTTCTGCCAAACGCACCCGATGTAGGTGGGCTAGGAAACAAGAGAGAGACAACAACATCAGGTAAAAGAGATGAATTTTATAATGTTACCACCAAAAATAAAGATTTCGTATCCTTCAAAACAATGAACTTATTAATTGATTTTTAAAGTAAGTTGCATTTAAAAATAGCTATTGTTATTATTTTGATGCCAAAAATATGTTTTGCTAAGAAATATTACGTATTCAATTGATTAATACACAAAAACAAAAAAGATAAAGCAATAATGTGTGGCAACAGTAATGTGCGCACGCCATATTGGGTGCGTTTGGCAGAAAAAAGCGCTAGCAAGCGCTTGTAAGCAAAATGGCGATCGTAAGCGGTAAGCGCTGTCAAATCGTAAGTAGCTATTTTCCTCCAGGACACGATGTTAGTTTTAAACGGGGAACCTAACCTAATTTAAATATATCTTTGTAAGGTATTCATATTAAATACTTATCAATCATGAATTTTTAATAACATGTATATGTTTATTCATGTCATTATATTACTTAAAACTAATATGTCACAAAACAACTTATAAACTATACTTCAAAACAAACAAATTAATTAAGCAAAATGGCGGATTGTGTCAGCGCTACTGAAGTAGCAATCGTGTCCTGGCCGAAAACTATTTCAGCGCTTATAAGCGCTTGCTAGCGCTTTTTTCTGCCAAACGCACCCATTGATTATGATTATGACGTCACAAGAAAAATGTCTGCCGGCGCTTGAGCACCATTTTGTCTTGTATTTATGTTTCTTTGTAATAAATAAACTAGTTCCATTTAATGCTACATACATTGTTAACGTTGAGTCGAGTTTGCTCCTCCGTGGCTGTGTTTTGGTGAAATTAAGTGTTTTTGTGAGATATAGACTCGGTGTTGAGATAGTGACTCTTGTTTGAATTTGTGTTTATTTTAGCGATGAGTTCGCAGAAAGAAAATACTAGAAATATGTATAATGTGTGGATCTTCACCTTCTAAAGATTCCAGCATCACTTTGTATCGGTTTCCAAAGCCTGGCACTAGAAATGCTCTGCGGTATGTATACCTTATACACACAGGTATTTACTTTGTTTTAAACGACATACAATAACATATTTTTGGGTAAATCTTTCCAATATGGACCATCGATTTCAAAGCCCATATTTTTTTTGTAGATAGTACTCACTAAAAGAAAGCGTTTTGCAAAGTTTTAGGTTGCGGAAACTTACGGTTCATGAGAAACTTTTCATACAAATTGGCAAATAACACGCAATTACACCAATTACAAAATGAATTTGACAAATCATTGATGTCAAACGTCAATTAGTGTAGGGTTCCGAATATTTTGAAAGTATCGATACGTACTCGATACCAAGTATCGTATCAAAAGTATCAATACTACTTGGTATCGAGTACATTTCGTTAATTTTGGAGACTAGGGGGGGTAAGAAGCCGGGAAGTTGTGCTCCGGCGCTCCGTGGCAGCTCCGGCGCTGCGGGATGAACAGTGCCTCCGCCCTAGCGTAGGGAAGCACAGGCACCTAGGCCTGGATCTCGGTGCCTGCGCTTCCCTACGGCGGGCGGGCACTGCTCTCCCTCCGCGCCTCCGGGCTCTTATATACACTCTAGGGGTAGGGCAGACAAGACCACGTGGATAGTGGGGTGCTCTGAGTCGGTTTTGGGTACTTTTTGAATATTAAATAAGTAAGTAAACACTTTATTGTAGTAAGAATTAGATAATACAGAAAGTTGCAAACAATAAAATAAAAGTACAAAAGCTGTACTAATTAAGAAATACAAACAAGTTGCAAACAATAAAATACAAGTACTAAGGTGGAACTTAAATAGAGTAAACTTTATTCTACTTTATATACATATATAATTGCACTTATCAGCTCTTCCTATGCATCTAATTGGTTTGTCATAATTTTTCGTCTCCAAAATTAACGAAATGTACTCGATACCAAGTAGTATTGATACTTTTGATACGATACTTGGTATCGAGTAGGTATCGATACTTTCAAAATATTCGGAACCCTACACTAACTGACGTTTAACATCAATCATTTGTCAAATTTATTTTGTAATTGCGTGTTATTTACCAATTTGTATGAAAAGTTTAAAAAAATATATCTCATGAACCGTAGGTTTCCGCAACCTAAAACTTTGCAAAACGCTTTCTTTTAGTGAGTACTATCTACAAAAAACATATGGGCTTTGAAATCGATGGTCCATATTGGAAAGATTAGCCTTGATCACTTAATGATGTGGTCGACCATTTCAAAAAATTGTCCCGTTTCATGATATGGCCATCCATATTTGGCCTTATCATGAAACGGGACCATTTTATTAAATGGTAGATTTTTTTTTTTTGCGCCCGAAGCAATTAAAGGGCTACCCTGTACGTAGGGAGGCGGAAAATGCATTACGCATACCACGATAGCCGGTCTATCGTGGTTATGGGGGACTCACTGTCCTACCGGGGACCCTAAGTGATACCCCCTAAAAACCGCCTTTGGGGACAGGCAACCGGCTGATTAAGCTCTATTGTGCCTTATCATGAGCGACCCTCTTTTGGGAAAAGAGGGCGCAGGCGGCTAAGTGCCGCTGAGGGAGTGCCTACGAAGGCAAATTAATGTCAGATATTACAATAATTTTATTTAATTAGAGTTGGCCTGAGCCGCCAGGAGACAGTTCAGGTCGTTTGAAAGTTTATTAGGCGGGTCCGAGAGAGAGTTTCTCGGCCTGCGGACACGATAGCGAGAGGGGGGTGGGGCTGCATAAGAAGCTGCCTCACGAATTAAATGGTTTGGGTGCGACTCTGAGGCTTTGAAGAAGTTCTCAGAGAGTTTTTTAAGAAATTGTTGAATTGTTGGGAGCTCTAAGTCCCGATGAAGGTCGGCATTACGAACGTACCACGGTGCGTTCGCAGCTCGACGACAGAATAGGTTCTGAACTATTTGGAGTTCATTTAAAATGTTAGGGTTTGCGTGGGCAAAGACGGGGCCCGCGTAGGACATGACTGGTCGTATACATACCTTGTAGAGGGTACGCTTGTTTCGAAGGGACATTTTACTGTGTCGGCCCAACATACTGTTGAGCCTACTCAGATAAAATCGTGCGTGACGGGTTACTCTTTTGACGTGGGGCTTGAAAGTAAGCCCTGTGTCTAGAGTGACACCTAAATATTTGGCGGACGTATGCCAGGGGACAGGGGTCCCTAGCATACGTATTGGAGGAGTGTTTTTGAGACGGCGTCGTTTATAATCGAAGTGAACGGCGGAGCTCTTCTCTGGGTTCACATCGATGCGCCATTTTTTGAACCAAGCTCCTAGGTCATCAACTGACTTTTGGATCTTGTTCCGTATGAAGGGTAGTGAGACACCTTTGCAGTAGATGGCAGTGTCGTCTGCAAAGAGGGAGAGTTGAACACCTTTCGACGGGATGGGAATGTCGTTGGTGAACAGGATGTACAGCAGAGGAGCAAGTACTGAGCCCTGAGGGACACCAGCCTTGATAGTTCGCTGTGAAGAAAGCGTGCCTTCGTGTCTAAAACGAAAGGTACGATGTTTTAAATAGGAGGCCACGAGACGAACTAGACGATCGGGGAGACCTATTTTATAGAGCTTGTAGATGAGGCCTGTGTGCCAGACTCTATCGAAAGCTTTGGCTATATCGAAGAAGACCGCGATGGTTTTATGACGTCGAGGGTAGAAACCGCTGAGGATATATTCCACAATGCGGTGAACTTGTTGGGGACATGAGTGTTTGGCTCGGAAGCCGAATTGGTGGGGGATGATGAGAGGGTCGCCGTCTGTGGGAAACAGAAAGCGCCTCATACGCGTTTGAATGACTCTTTCGAAGAGCTTGCCCATTGCCTTGAGGAGGCTAATGGGGCGATAGCTGGAGGGGAGGCTAATGGGGCGATGGCTGGAGGGGTAAATGGTCGACCACATGATGAAGTGATATAGGTACAACATAATCGTATATCTAATGTATTTGATACCCTTTGATAAAGTCGCAACATGCATTGCCAAAAATCATCAGGTACTTATCAATCCCCCTGGTGTTGCAGCTGTTCGTAGGCGATGGTAATCACTTACCATCAGGTGAGCTGTATGCATGTTTGCCCCCTCTTATAAAATAACAAAAATATTATGGTATTTAATTTTTATTTTGTTTAATTTCTAGCTGTGAATTATGGGCAAAGTATTGCTTTCCAAACGAAGCCTGGTCTTCACCAAAATTCCAGGAAGAACTCCATTTAAAGCATAAGATGCTTTGCAGCAAACATTTTGAAAGCACATGCTTTAATGAGAAGTTGTTCAGAACAGCTGTACCTGGTGTTCAATGCTATAAGGTTAGTACAAAAGAAAGAAGAAAAGCATGTTTAAAGCTATTTACATTGCAGAGAAATACAGACTTTATTTATTTATTTATAACAGGAAAACTTACAGCTTTTAATTAATGCTATATGGCATAAAATGTAATCCACAAAGTAAGCCAATTAGAAGCTTTCACAAATGAGTAATTGGTTTGGGTACATTTTATATGTAGTAGAGCTATGCTACAGTTATATTATGGTTGCAGCGCGAATGGGCTCATAATATAATAGAATAGCATTGAGGCTCTACAAAAGGTCACCAACATGCTACAAGTTATTGAGGAGAATGATTTGTTTACCAGCACCTAGCACATTAAAATCCCTCCTAAGTAGATTTCAGATGAATGTGGGGACACACAAAGCAACACTTACCATGTTGAAAAACATAACAAAAAACTTTTGGCCATCCGAACGAGAGTACATATTGTTGTGGGATGAAATGTCCTTAAGAAAAAATTTATGGTACAACTCGAAGGCGGATCATATTGAGGGTTTCCAAGACCATGGTACACAAGGTAGATCTCCACTGACAGCTTCATATGCCCTTGTGTTTATGGTAGTTGGAGTCAGGAAGCAAATTAAAGAGCCAGTGGCTTATTATTTATCAAGTGGGTTTGTCACAGCTGACAGACTATCTGCTTTGATTAAGGAGGTATGCATTTCTTCTTCATTTTGAATGATGATCATGTTTATTTAACTCTGCTAAACTATGTCAATAATCTGCATTAAAATACTTTCAGGTCTTAAATTCTTGCTTTGATGCTGGACTTAATATATGCGCTTCAGTTTGTGACTTGGATGGTGTCAACAAGAAAGCTCTAGGTCTGTTAGGAGCTTCTGTAGAGAATCCCTGCATAGAAGTGAGCAATCACAAAGTTGTCACACTATTTGACACACCACACCTGCTGAAGTGTTTCAGAAATCTTTATATGAAATATGATGTAAAGTTTAGGACCAATCATCAGACAACAAACAAGGAATTGGTAAGTCATTGTTATTTAGTTAAAAAAATTGTTTATTAATAAATATGTACATTAGTATATAATTATTATAATTTATAATACTTTTAATAATTACAGGAATCGCTAAATGGAGCCACATCAGGCAATTCTATGAATTGGACAATAATAATCCCAACTTTGTATATGCACCATGCTTGACTAAAGAGCACCTTGACCCCAATACCAAGCAAAAAATGAGGGTAAAACTTGCAGCACAAGTTTTAAGCCACTCAGTTGCAGCAGGAATATATTCCAAAATAGCTAAAGGTAGGACATCTTTAATACTCAAAGTCAAACTCATTTATAATTATACATGATACTTATGAACATTTAACAACAAGCTAACAACACCCTTTCTTAAAATTTGTTTCAACAGAATGTTAATGTGGGGTTGTCTCTTTTATAAAGGGTGAAACCGTCTAGTATTTATATTGGCCTTTTTATTACCTAATCCTGGTTTGAGCAAGGATTAAAAATGGTTTAAAAAAAACTAGCCAGAAAATATGCTTACTTATATTGATTTTATTTGTTTATTGTGAATTTTCAGGAGACATTCCGACTGAAGCAGTGGCAACAGCCAATTTAATTACGTATATGGATGAACTGTTTGATGGTGTAAACGCGTCGACACCAGACCTAAGAAGAGGGAAAAAATTTTCGACGAACATAAAAAACTCTACGGAACATCTGCAAATGTTCAATAGAATGAAAATTTTTTTTTAAACTTCTGAATTTTTAGGTTGCAGGGGTAATCCTCCATCAAAAGATGGATGGATTTGGACCCTTAATGGCATCGAAATGATTTGGAGAATCCTTGGTGACAAATATAAGTCATTTAAAAGTCTGTCTACAAGAAGACTCCAGCAGGACCCACTGGAAAATTTATTTAGCTGCATACGCTACAACTGTGGCTCCAATAGTAACCCAACAGTAAACAGCTGTAATAAGTAACATGGCACACACTAGCTCAGGCAATTGTGAGATGGATGGCAACAGTGCCATTATAAAAATTTTTAAAACATTGCTGACACCAGCCACAGACATATGCACTGATACAGAGCAATCGGAACATGCATTCCAAATAGAAAAAGAAATTGAAGAAAGTATTTCTTCCTCTCTGGAAGAAAACTTGGAGGAAGGAAGTAGCGAACTACAAGCATGTGCTTATGTCTGTGGCTTCATTATTAAAAAAAATAAAAACAGTTGTAATAATTGTAAAAAAAATCTAGTCTCCGAAACGCCAGAGGGAGTACATAATTTTATAGAGTTCAAAAATTATGAAAATGTAAAAAAATCTCTTACATACGCCTCAAAGAATTTAATAGCTTGTGTAGAGAAAAGTGCAAGCGTTATAAATATATTTTTAGAAAAAGAGGCGTATAAAGAAAATATTAAAATGAGAATAACACAATTGTTAAAGGACTCTATAAATTATGACTTCCTCGAAAATTGCATGGAACACAAGCAATTAAATATTACATTCGTACTTAATAGTGTCTTCCATATTTCTATTAAGAGATATTGTATTTTTAAAAACAGAATGTTTTCTGAGGAGGTGAGTAAATCTGCACTAAAGAGAAAAATGAACATAATTATACATAAATAAATGTGAAACTAGCGCCTTTACACAAGTTCATCCACCTGAACTTGATGATACAACACATATTTATTTATTTTTGTATTAAATACTCTAACTATTCATATTCAATACTCAATCTTCAAAAACACCAGATTCTCATACGAAATTTCAATCCTCACACTTTAGCTTAAACGAGCACACAGTTCACCTGATGGTAAGTGGATGCTGTAGCCCACAGACACCTAAATGTATTCTCGATTGATTACAAATCAAAATACAGAAGTGTTTTCGTCCGTGAGGACTAAGATGGAATACCTCGTTTCTAGTAAAAAGGGTCTCCGGTTCTCTACACTCACCATACGCGAAACACAGCAGCATTAGGCTACTATTTTACGCTGGTATTCTGAGTGAGCGTGGTCCTTACCGATCGAGCCAAGCCATTCGTACTACAACTATACTACTAATACATATAACTGCAGCATTGGCGATTTATTTGTTGTCCAAATACCAGTTCACATTGATTTTACTTAATAAGTGACGAACTTTCATGCAAATTTCTGTTCTATCCCCTATGTGAATAGAATTTCTAAAAAAATTTTTATATTGGATGTCTATTTCACAAAAGAAACTTGTTCTGTGTTGATGTGCAGTCAGTTAGGACAAGTAATTATACATTAATAGATTACGTTAATTTTTCTTTTTCGTGCAGATTTACCTGCACTGGGCCGGCATGGTAGTTTACAGCCCACTGCATCTCACAGAGGAGGCGTGTGTTCCAGCTGTGGGAACATTATAGGCTGATTATGCTTTATTTATTATTTTACAACTTGTTTTATAAATAGGCGATAATGTAGCTACATTGTCGGATTTGTCTGCTTTCAACCAAAATAATAAGTATGTCTCTTCCTAACCATTTCTTTATTTATAACATTAAACTGAAATAATACATGTTAAATAATATGATACGTGTATGTTAAATGTAACTTGTGTTTGACCTTGTCCAGATTTTGATATTAAAATTGTATGCAATAGACCTGTTCATATTTGTAATTTCCATATTTCTAAACCCTCTCAGAAATGAGGGGAGGCCTGTGCCCATCAGTGGGACATATATATGCTGTAACTTTACTTTATATTTGTAATTATGTTCGAATATGGTTGCTGTATTTTCAAATTGTATGCATAATCTCATTTTTAGATTACGCTTAATTTATGTTTAAGATTAACTGCTTAAATACACGTTACTTGTGACTTGTGAAAACCTTTTGTCCCAAATGTATATATAATTTCTTCACAATATGCTGATGCGTCACATTGCGAAGTTCTTAGGAGATTTTAACGACAGCTCAACCGCTTTATGCTCCATTTAAAACAATATCCATACGGTTTTAAAAAATATATAAAATTGAAGATTCCGAAAGGCTAGAACCCAGAACCGTAAAACCAGTTAAATAAAAAATCTTATAAATGACGTTTAAAGTTAAAGTTTTAAAGTGCATCTGACCTTTGTGCTGACCACGCCATATCTTTGTTCTAACAAATACAACTGTCTGTGTTTGAGAGTTGAGATTAGTTAGTTATTGAATTGTGTGTTGAGAAGTAGAACTTGTTAGTATTTTGTGAACTTTTTTTCTGTATATTGTGCAAATATGTTGAGTTGTGGAGTCGACCGATTAACACCGTCAGTCACCCGGCATAACAATCGATGTATCAATTGTTCATTTTTGATACCCAGAAACCTACCTATACATTAATTGCAACAAGCATCTACTTCAATGATTAATTTGTTACAGTCGTGGATAACTCGTACTCAGGTAAGCAGATCTTATTTTACTCTTTGAATATATACCTAAGAATGTCAGATCTCTACCATCGTACCGTCTTACAAAACATTTTTATAGAATGAAAGAAATATTTATTTTAGACAGCACAGGCAATAACAAATGATTAACAAAAAACGAACCTGTTTGAGGCCAAAAAGGCTCTTGATTGCATATTTAAATGTTACTTCTGTGAAGATGTTACAGAAGACAAATAATGTCAAAAAGGTTAAAAACACACTTTAATTCATGGTTTTTATTGCAGTTGTCTTCAGAATGTGTGCTTTGTACAGAGTGTTTGACACTGCTTCAAGATCAAGCAAACACAATTAGTGAAGGATTGCCTGCTTTTGGTCATAGAAGTATATCTTTTACGTGTGGTAATTCTATTCTACGTGCAACTAACATATCCTGTAAGACAAGATCGACAAGAGAGAAACATTTTAGTTAGACATGTTCCGCTGCATCTGGTAAATATTTTTATTTATGTTGCAATATAAAAAAAAAGATCAACTTCTTATTAATGTTCTTATTTTCTACAGTCTTTAGTTATAATACTGTAATTAGATGTGTTTATATAATAATATTGAGTCCCAATAAGTGAAGGTTTTACAAATAAATAATGTTGTGGGTATTAGATAATATTATCTATTTTAACACAATTATTGCCTGATCATTATCATATGTGGAGAGCCATCCTGCAACTAAATTAGTAGTATATTAATTATATTAGTAGTATATTTGTAGCATCAGTGGGTCGGCTCGAGTGGGTAAGGACCATGCTCTCACAGTATACCATCGTGAAATAGCAGCTTATGCTGTGCTTCGTATAGTGGGTGTAAAGAACCAGAGATCCTTTTTACTGGGAACAAGGCATTCCATCATAGTTCTCAGGGGTGACAATGCATCTGCATTTTGATTTGTAATCGAGAATAGATGTAGATGTCTATGGGCCACAGCAAATACCAATTACCATCAGGTGGACTTTATGCTCGTTTGTCACCCTATCTTATAAAAAAATGTATCCCTAACAATTACATCACATTACAATACACACTTTTATCAAGTTTATATCCCATTGTGAAATGTTACATATTACGTTTAATTGTGTTATTTTTAGATCTCAAGATTGGAAAAAGTATGTGCTTGCTGGAGATCAGCTACAAGGGAATTGCAACGTCGTGATCAGCAAGACTCCAATCGCCCTGGTCTGTCAGAAGTTATTTTGCCTGATGTTGGATCAAGTAGCGATCTCAATATTCCTGAGCCGCCCCCTCTTCCACAACAAAACCTGCACACTACTCATATTAGATCAAATCCAACAATTAAGTCTTCAGTGTATAAGCGTGCGGCTAGCACATCCAATCACTGTATATTTGTTAATTGTTTTGAAACAGAATGTTTACTAGTACCCTCATGTATAAAAGATCTGTTATTACTTAATAATAAATTCTATGTGCCACCAGCAGCACGAATCTGTCGTCACCACTTGGATCATGGCCGTTGGAGCGAATTAACTTCTCAGCTAAAAGATTTTACTGGTAGTCAATTCGACTCAATTATGAGAATAATGCAGCGAGCTGCCTATTACCATATAGATTTCTCAAATATTTTAATTATGCCTACATATTTGTGTCACTTTTGGTTAGGCATGAACTCCGATCAGTTTTATGATTTGTTAAACTGTATCCCAAGTCTAGCAGGACAAGTACCAAATGCCACGGTTGCTTTAAGCATTTACTTAGTAAAGCTTAGAACTGGTGATAGTAATGAAAGGTTGGCAACTCTCTTTAATAAATCTCGTGTCACCTTAGAACGCTTAATGAATAAGGCCAGAACATGTTTAATTAATGAGTTTGTTCCATTGTATTTAGGATTTAATCATATGAATGTTGAAGATGTTGCTTCTAGAAATAGAATAATACCAGAAGGATTATTTGGTAATCCTGACTTGCCACCTAATTCTAAACCAGCAGTAGTCATGTGTGATGCTACTTATGTATTTATCCAAAGTAGTTCTAATTACTTATTTCAAAAACAAACATAGTTTGCAAAAACTGGATAATTTGGTCAAACCATTTATGATAGTGTGTTGTGATGGTCATATTGTGGATTGTCTCGGACCATACAAGGCGACAACTAATGCTACAATTACTAGTTTAAACTTACATAATGAGGAAGCTTCTTTAAGATCATTTTTCCGAAGAGGTGACGTTTTCATACTTGATAGAGGATTTAGGGATGTAATTAATGAACTCCAGGGATATGGCTTTGTAACACATGTGCCAGAGTCTCTACTTGAGAATGAACATCAATTAACAACCCAGCAGGCAAATCAGTCTCGTTTTGTTACTATGTGCCGCTGGGTTGTAGAAGTGGTTAATGGTAGGTTGAAAAGGGATTTTAGACTCTTTCATCATGTTTTTAACAATAGAGCGGTTTTGCACCTAAAGGATGATTTTAGAATCTCATGTGCCCTAATTAATAAGTTTCATGTTGTTATAGAAGACCCACCAGAAGCCATGGAATATGTAAGAATTGCTAAGGATAGGCTTTCATTAGAGAACCATTTGGCAACTTATGTTGAACAGGCAAATCTCAATAGAAGGAGTGTGAATTTTCAGTTGATTGACAGCAATAATCCACATTTAGATGGATTTCCACAATTGACAATAACTGATTTAAAACGGTTAGCTCTTGGGACTTACCAACTCAAACAGGCTAGATCTTATTATGGGGAACACATCCGTCGGACTGGTATTTATTCAGTTGAGGTAAATAATACTATCGATGATGATATTACCTCTTAAGAGGTAGGATTAAATCTAGACATGTCAACAGTCGTACTTATCACATATTTATTGATTAACAGAGATGATGCTGTGGCCAACACTTTAAAAACCATAGTAGGTTATTGCTGCAGCTGCCTTGTCGGTAAGCGAATAGTAGGCTGCTGTGCTCATATAATGACGATAGTGTGGTATTTGAGCTGGGGACGGTATAATGACGTAACTGCGCCGCGAACGGCTTTAGATGATTTTTTTCAGGAGTATGATGAATGATTAAAGTAAATATATTTTAAATAAATATTTTTGACTTTAAATCGCTATTAAAAAACCCAAATGGACTTGTTTGTTTTATTTTTTCTATCACTTACCTAATCGATTCACAACAACATGAGCTTGAGCAATAGTGTCTGTCATGAATAGTATCATATCTTAGATTAAAGGGTTAAAGACGCTCTAGACTCAATGAGCTTTTTTCGGTCTGGATGGTCACACTTATGATAATGTATTATTGATATTGGTGTGGTAGTGTAATCGCGGTGGCGTCCAATTATATACATATTACCTTTAGATACGTTACCCACTCACAGTATTGGCAATATGTATAAAGGTCGGGCAAATATTCGAATTTCAGTCACAATTAACACAAAGTAATCCATAATAAATGTAATTACAAATATTAATGGATTATTAATATTATTGGTTTTTAGAGCAATAATGTTTGTCCATGTTTAAAGTGTCAATTTAAAATAGGTCGTTGGTAGCATCGAAAAAGTGACGTAATGGTTTTTAGGTTATTTTCGATTTTGTAAAATAACTCCAAAACCCGGGTTTTTTTTCAAAAAGGACTTTTGTAGGAGTTAATAGGATTAGTGTAGTCAATAAAAAACAAAGTTTGATTTTGATGCAACTTGGTACGAGATTCCATACATCTATGGTCATTCTCCTTTCATAGTTGCCCAAATGAAAATCTGATAAATTATAATTAATATGATGCGAAATAAAAAGTCATATACTAATGTTTGTTTTATTAGACTGTTTCTTTAAATTTTGCTTTCAGCATTGTATGCACATGTATACTGTGTTTCTCGGTAATGATTTTGTTCAGATGCCAATTGCTGAGCAACAATTGACCATCTTGAAGGAAAATATCGAGAAACGCACTGTAGTTGTGCGTAAAATGCAATGCAACGTATACCTATCTGTAAAATGCACTGTGCTGTGAATTTCCCGCCCTAGCTTCTACTGTTTAGTTTTCGTGGGCTGTCCACAGATGGCGCCCATCGGTAAGAAAAAATTTCCTCATAAAATTTGTATGGAGTCGTTATTCTTCCCCTTTAGGGGTGGGTATATGTGTTCTGTGCACAAACTAATAAGAGGTTCTGTGGATAGATTACTGAATATAAACGTCAATTTCTCTGTCTAATCCATAGACAGAGAAACCTATAGACAAATTGACGCCTTCTTTCGCATTCGCACACGAAAAAGATAGATTTACGACGCGTAGACAGAGAAACCTATATATAGACTAATGATCGGCGTGGCCTCGAGTGAGAAAGGACGATAACGAATTTTTAGGTTATACAATAATCTTTATGACTTTTTTTTTTCATTTAGATAAAAAATTTAATTGTTCTAAGAACTGAACTGAACAAGATTCACCAATCTTAAGCTCACAAAACATTTTTTTCTCACTTAAACCAACTTGTAAACTCCTTAAATCGCTACGCTGTTAAAGTTGTTTAGCAAACTGTAGAGTTTGCTAAACAAAAAAAAACCGGCACGGAGAAACGGACACTCAATCACACCGCTCTATCTCATTTCTATGCAAGACGTATGCATAAATCTATCTTTTTCGTGTGCGAATGCGAAAGAAGGCGTCAATTTGTCTATAGGTTTCTCTGTCTACGGATTTATGCATACGTCTTGCATAGAAATGAGACAGAGCAATGTGATTGTTTGTCCCTTTCACCGTGCCGGTTTTTTGTTTAGCAAACTACACTTTGCTAAACAATTATGACAGTTCGTAGCGATCTAAGGAGTTTACAAGATGGTTAAAGTGAGAAAAAAGTATTTTATGAACTTAATATTGGTGAATCTTGTTCAGTTCAGTTCTTAGAACAGGTAAAAATTTTATCTAAATATGTTTAAAAGTCATAAACATTATTGTATAACCTTAAACTACGTTATCGTCCTTTCTCAATCGAGGCCACGCTAATCATTAGTCTATAGGTTTCTCTGTCTACGATCTAGTCTGTGCTGAATATATACTTGCTATACTTTTTGCAACACACACAGATCCGCACAGATCACCGCAGATATGCCGCAGATCACTATCGAATATCGACACATCGACACGAATGACTAAAGTTGGGCGTTATAACATACAACAGATAATATATTTCATTATATATTTGTAATCTTACAACACATTAGAATAATGAACCATTGACTGTTATAATATATTCATTATCCTTAGAAAGCGTCATCTGTTTACGTTTACGGTCCAGCCGTCGGCCCAGATGCGGCACCTCAATGGGAGTCAATAACATTCATTATGCCACAAGGATTGCGTATAGCTTACACTAAATTATAATGGTAAACAAAAATATATTATTTCCTTCATTGCTAACTGTTGCCTGTTGTGCCTGTTATTTAATTTTTTGGCTGTTGTAATATATTAGTGTTCAGTTAGCTGTCTAGCTGAGATGACAATGACACTGTTATCTGTTAAATTATATACGTAATGTTTTGATAGCAGGTCCCCATATTACGTGAAAAAGCTATTGTTGTTTTTGTTTATTTTTCGTTAAGTTATATTCCTAAAGTAATTTTAAATATTTTGTGTAATATAGATAGGATTTAGCGTGTTGTAATGTTTGATGTGTTGTAGCGCAGCCATTTGGAACTATTTTATAGTCCAAAGTGTGGACGAAAAAAAAGCAGTGTGCAATTAAAAAAACTTTATCTTTCAAAAGTACAATTACAAATTTAAAGCTTCACCTTAAGCAAAGACACGTAGGAGTGTATGAAGAGTTTTGCCGTTCAGATTTAATATCGGATAGACGCACAAGGCTTACGTCGTCAAAAGTAAACCAAATAATGTTTTTGAATAGTAACTGAAAAAAATGTAAATAATTGTAGATAACTAAAACTTTGACCACAGTGTAAATAATGTGAAAATCCAATCAAAATGTACATAACATCAATGAGCTTCTAACTACGCCTGAATGAGTTATTTTTCTTAAAATGTTTGAAAGTATGAGTAAATAATTATAACAGATACAATAATTACACAGCTTAACATACATTCAGACAGTCCTAAGCTTGTAAAAAGTAGGAAGGGAAGTTCATTGAACTAAACATACATATTTTAAATGATTCTCTTTTAAAACATGAAACACTCAAATGATGCTAATACAACTTAAAAATATTTTTGTGTCTTCATATAATACTTATAATCCTTTAATATTTATAATATTTATAATCGTTATAATCTTTCATCATAATATTTATAATCGTTATAACAACATACAACAAAACGCTAACACAGCCTGAACTAATGGCGTGTACAATGTAATATTTGAAACTGTTATAATATATTATAACAGTTTAAAACAACAGTTAGAAAAATATATTACAACAACATAACGAATTAGGAAAATATAACAGTTTCGCCCACCTTTACGAATGACAGAAAATAAAAACCTCTGTCAGTTTGACAGCTATACACATTGACAAAATGGCTGCCTTCTCTGTCAACGGGCTGCCAGCTACATGGCTACCGACAGTAACATCATAACGCATTTTTTGGAACTAAACGTAGACAGAGAATCCTAGTTCCTAGCATTCTCTGTCTACGGAACCACAAACTAATAAGAGTACTAACGTACAGACGACAATCTTCCATAGTAAAAAATTGTTCTATAGCAAGCCTCAAAAATTGAAAGTAATATTTAGGTTTTTAAATTTATCTAAGTCAAAGGTATTTATTTTTTTTGCCTAGTAGCCAGTGGCTGTAAATAATCCTTCCAGAACTTTGAAAATTTATCATATTATAAATTTAAACCATTATTAACGTTTATTTAGATATAAATAAATAAAGTCTTTTATTTTAACATTTCAGTGTAAATTTACAAGTGCAAGCAAATTCTTTCCTTCTAGGCGCAAAACATCAATTTCTTTTAAATATTGCCACAGCCTTTGAAACCTCTATAATTACAATCTAATTTTTATCGAAGGAGGTGATGGTTCTTTGCTATATGCAAAGAACCATCACCTCCTTCGATAAACGGTCACATATTCAATTCAACTGATGTAACAACTATTCTCAAATTTTTCCCCTTGTATTATTTATGGTTTGTGCTTGTTGCTCCCCCATTTACCAAAGATGCAGCAATATTCAAAGCTTAAGCTATTTAATAGCTGAGTGCTCCTTTTATCAAAATATATATTATTATCATGAATACTGAAAATAGATCAAATATAAATATACTCTTTCCTCAGTTACCATCAGATTTGCATGAATTAGATATGTGGTAATATTCTATTCTGACTAAAAAAAATCTCACTTTGTAGATTCATAATATGCGCCTAAAATGATCATGCATTTGAAAGAGAATTGTCAGGAGTTTAGTCAAGTCAGTCACACACCATTTAGTGTCACTGCTACTAGTTATGTCAAGTGCAATAAAACAATTTATTAAAAGTCGAAATGCCATCTTATGTCTTTAGACATTGTAAAATTATTATACAAGTGTATCATTTAACATAACTACTTTTACAGATTTTATAGCGTTTTATTTAGTTGATTTTAATTGAATTTTGGGTGCTTTCCAGTTTTTAAAAGCTGAACGTACTCCAGGTAACACTGACATTGGGATGTCAATCACCTCAGTCACCTGAAACGTCGGGAATTAAAATCAACTAATTTTCACGTGATAAGATCTGTACAAGTAGTTTTATTCAATGTGTAGTGTTCTAGTATATCTAAGGAATCATAAAGTATCATTTACTTCAAAATACTAAATCTGTATCTAATAAAAGTCATTGAGTGTAACACATAAAATATTCAGTCAAATAAATATATCTTCATATATTTATTTGACTAAATATACCTTCTCTCAAAAATATCACTTACAATCTCTCAAAAATTTTTGAGGTGTCAACCTCCATCATTTTAATATTTTATAAATGACATATTAATGAGGCACATTACAATAGTGGGTTATGAATGAATGAATGAATATACTTTATTGCACACCACAAACAAATTTACAAAGAACATAACAGAGAGCAGATTACATGCACAATTTGGCGGCCTTATCGCTACATAGCGATCTCTTCCAGGCAACCAAAGGTGTAAAGGAATAAAACAGTGAGTACTAGGTAGGTGGTGCAATATAAATATACCTAATATAATATCAAAACATGCAATAAAATAACATATAAGTAAATAACTAATACATTAAAAAAATATGATACACATATACATAGGTATATACGTAAACATACACACACATATATACATATATATATATATATACATATACATACATATACACACATACACATATAAATACACATATATACATACATATATCCTCAAATATATACCACTAACAATAACATAAACAAATAAATACAAAACTACATAATCACATAATTTATCCTAATGATTTTCGAACGATTGAGACAAGTAATGCTCTTTAAGAAGTCGCTTAAAGACTACAATAGTCTGAGCTTCGCGTAAATACAAAGGTAGGGCATTCCAGAGCTTAATAGACTGAACAGTAAAAGATTTATTAAAGAAAGACGTATTGTGAGTTGGTACCCTTAAAATGAGTTTTCTTGAAGAGCGTAAAGGTTCCCCTGGAAGCCCAACAAAACTAAATTTCTCCTTAAGATAAGGAGGAGTAGAAGGGTGAAATAAGACACAGTACAGAATAGAAAGAATATGCATGTTCCGGCGAAATTGGATAGGTAACCACTTGAGACGTGAGCGAAATTGGGAAATGTGGTCAAATTTGCGCAATCCAAATATGAACCGAATACTAGTATTTTGAAGTCTCTCAAGCTTAGTTAGCTGGTCTTTAGTTATGTCTACATAGCTGGCGTCGGCATAGTCGAGAATCGGAAGGAGAAGAGACTGCGAGCATAATTTTTGTAGGAATGGGAAGAAATGATCGAAGGCGACGCAGTGAACTAAGAGCGACAAAGGTCTTC